TGGCTGAAGTGCCCCCCAGGATCAGCCTGGGTTGGTTGAGTTGCAGCCCCTGGGGGTTTTGAGGTTCCTGGAACACAGGCATGGGAGGAGACAACAGCTCTAACCTGCCCTGCCCACTTCACTTGTACCCCGCTCTGAGACGCCCCCCTCCCCTGATCTGGGGCTGAAAGGGACCAGATTCATTTTCCAGCTTAGGCCATAGCACTCCAGAGGCTGGGGTCTGGGGGAGGGGGCACCCCAGCTAGGAGCCTGAGCCTCAATATCACTTAATTTCCATAGAAATTATGTCCATTTTGGGGCTGGGCATGGTGTCACACTACTGTCATCCCAAGTACTCAGAAGGTTTGAGGCCACCCCAGGCAAAAAAGTTAGCAAGAACCTATCTCAGAAACAAGCCAGGTATGGTGTTTTATATCTATAATCCCAGCTACTCTAGAGGCAGATGTCGGAGGACATGAATTTGAGACCACCTGGGAAAAAGCAGGAGACCCTATCCAAAAAAATAACTAAAACAAAAAGGGCTGGAAGTATGACTCAAGTGGTAAAATGCCCATCTAGCAAGCAGGAGGCCCTGAGCTCACCAGTACTGCCAAAAAGAAAGAAACAAATGACATGCATTTTAAATAGTAGTAGAGACCTACCATTTTGCCTCTGGGGTGGGATGGGGTCTCCTGGAGGGTGGGGGCTACTGTCAAGAGTTTTAATAGTCACATTTATTGAGAGTCTTTTGCATATCAGGGGCTATTCTAGTTACTTGCTTTCTGCTGAGGATTGAACCCAAGACCTCACGCATGCTAAGGAAGTGCCCTACCACTGAGCTACATCCAAAGCCCTGTGTTCTCTGTGTTAACTTCTTTAGATCAGGTTGTTGTTTAGATGGATTTTTGGACATCTCAAACTTTCTCTGTTCAGAACCAAGCCAGGCACAGTAGTGCATGGCTATAATCCCAGCACTCAAAATGCTAAGGCAGGAAGATCACATGTTCATGTCCAGCCTGCTATACATGACAAACAAAACAAAATCAAACTCCTGGTCTTTTCCCCACACTTGCTCCTCTCATTCTTCCCCAGACCAGCCATCTGTGTGGTTGGATCAGTCAAACCCTTGGAGCCATCTTGGCTTCTTCCTTATTCTCCAACCCGCATCCAGTCCAGAAATCCCATTGTCTCCACCTTCAAACTGTGTTCCAAACCCACCCATTCTTTATCTACTCTGTCTCCTGCCTGGATGTCCAGCAGCCTCCACCCTGGGGTTCCCCAGGCTTTTTCCCACACACAGCCAAAGGGACCTATGAACACCTCTGTCAGCCAGGTATGGTGATGCCTGTAATCCCAGCACTCACAAGGCAGAGGCAGGAGGATCTAGTGTTCCAGGCCAGCCTGAGTTACATAGTGAGTTCCAGGCCAGGCTGGAGTTATAGCAAAACCCTCAAAATTAAGCCCAGACCTTTAAAAAAAAGGACTGGGCTGGCAGAGTGGCTCAAATGGTAGAGCGCCTGTTTAGCAAGCATGAGGCCCTAAGTTCAAACCCCAGTAGGGGAAAAAAAAAAAGGACTGGGGATGTAGGTCAGTGGTAGAGTGTTTACCTGGTGTTCACAAGGCTTGGATTCCATCCCCAGTAGTACACAAAAAGAAAGAAAGAAAAGGAAAGAAACACCTGTGTTGTTTCCTCTGGCCACTGTAACATAACAAAGTATTACAAATTTGGCAGCTTAAAACAACGAAAATGTTGCCTGGGCTGGTGGCCAGTGACTACTTCAGAGGCAGAGGCAAGAGGGGCAGGAGGATTACCTTTCCTGGCTGGGTCCTGGCAAAAGTGGAAACCTTATCTGAAAAACAAATAGCAAAAGGGCTGGGGGGCATGGCTCAAGTGGTGGAGCACTTTGCAAGCATGAGGCCCTGAGTTCAAATTCCAGTACTGTGCCCCCCCCCCCCCGCCGCCAAAAAAAAAAAAAGACACCTCTGTCTTGAGACCAGAAGTCTGTGGGAGATTCCATTCTTGCCATCTTCAGCTCCTGGTAGCTCTAGGTATGCCTGGGCTTGTGACGCCATCACTCCAGTCTCTGCCTCCCTGGTCACATGGCCTTATGTGTGACATCTCTCTCTTATAAGAACACTTGCCTTTGACTTTGGGGCCTACTACAACAGTGCAGAATCTCATGTCAAGATCCTCATTTTCTTTTTTAAATTTTGAAACAGGGTCTTGCTACAGAGCCCAGACTGGCCTCCAACTCTTGAACCTCCTCCCTCAGGCTTACGAACACTAGGATTATAGGCATGTATCACTACATCTGGCTCAAGATCCTAAATTTAATTACATCTGTTTTTTCCAAATAAGCTCACATACACAAGTTCCATGTCAAACATTTTATTTTTTGAGGTCACCAACTCAGCATAACACCCAAGGTCATGTTCCTCCTTTGCCAGGAAGCCACCCATGACCCTGTCCTACTCACCACCAGTCCAGGCAGCCCTGCAGGACCTGGCCTCTGTCTGACTCATCTCCTTCACCTCCCTCCCAACCAGTCTTATACAGACACTGCACTTCTGGCTCCTCCCATCCACACCAGACAAAATCCTGCCCCAGGGCCTTTGTACTGGCTATTCTCCCCCAGTAGTCAAGTAGCTTCCTTCCTCCCCTCCCTGCTCACTCCTCTTCTCTGATTCTCAATAGTGTGTATTACCTTCTGTCATATTACAGTCTCTCAATATCTGGGGGCAGTGGCTTCCAGGACCTCCACTCCTAAGAACATCAATTTTTTTTTCTTTTTCCTTTCTGCAGTATGAAGGATTGAACTCAAGGCCTCGCCCTTGCTAGGCAAGCTTGTTACCACTTGAGCCATGCCCTCTGCCCCACTGAACTTAACTTTTTTGTTCTTTTACTTCTTTTTCTTTCTTTCATTTTTTTTGGCCAGCACTAGGGTTTGAACTTAGGGCCTTACGCTTGCTAGTCAGGTGCTCTACCACTTGAGCCACTCTGTTTTTTTCTGAGATAGGGTCTCTCAAATTATTTGCGCAGGCTGGCTTCGAACCTTGATCCTCCCGATGTCTGCCTCCTAAGTAACTAGGATTGCAGGCATGAGCCTCTGGCACCCAGCCAGATGTGTTTTTATTGATCTTGGCATCCCTAATTTCACATCACCTGCTGTTTCAACCCTCACCCCAAATAAAACATTTCTCACCAAGGCCTTCAAAAATAAATAAAATCAAACCTTTTCTGCTTCTCCCTTCCCCCACCCCCAATCTCTGGTCCACTTAAGACTGTTGTCTTCTGCTGATGACCTTATCAGCTTCAGATAACCCTGAGCTGTTGCCCTTTCTTGCAGGACTTTTTTTTTTTTTTTTTAAGGATAAATTTTTAAGTTGCCCTGGTTGGTTGGCCTCAAACTCCTGAACTCAAGTGATCTTCCTTCTCTAGCCTCCTGAGTAGCTGAAATTACAGGCATACACCATTGTGCCCAGAGTGTTTGTTGAGTCCTTTTTTCTTTCTGCAGTGAGATGAAGAGACCATGTATGCTCTGCCCTGCACTCTAGGATCAGACATTGGTGGAGAATTGTTTCCTAGTTGTCCTGTTCTCCCTGGATCTGGAAGTGGGGAGAACCTAGCTTCTTTGGGGATTTTTTTCTTCCTTTCTTTTGGTACCGGGGCTTGAACTCAGGGCCTACACCTTCAGCCACTCCACCAGCCCTTTTTGTGTTAAGTATTTTCAAGATAGAGTCTCTCAAACTATTTGCCTAGGCTGGCTTTGATCCTGATCCTTCTAATCTCTGCCTCCTGAGTAGCTAGGATTACAGGCACAAACCACTGGTGCCTGGCCTTTTTTCTTCCTTTTTTGTGGTACTAGAGTTTGAACTCAGGGCCTCATGCTTGCTAGGCAGGTGCTCTACCACTTGAGCCACTCTACCAGCCCTGTTTTGGGTTGGGTTTTTTTTCAAGATAGGGTCTCTAGAACTATTGTGCCCAGAACTGGCTTCAAACTGCGATCCTCCTGATCTCTGCCTCCTGAGTAGCTAGGATTACTCTTACTATTTAAAAAAAAATCTTAGAAATGCATGCCCTTAATTTTTCTTTTTTTCAATTTTTATTTTTTTGTAAGTAACCCAGGTGTGGGTTCAAGACCAGACTGGGGCACATAGCAAGACCCTGTCACACAAGGAAGAAGAGAGACAGATAGACAGATGAGAACAGATTTCCAATAAAAAGCAATACTGACCCCCTCCCCCAACCCCTTTCTGTTGAAGGCAGCCTCTTCTGATGCTGTCACTAACTCCTCTCCATAGATTACCTTTTCGGCTGTATCTGTTGATTGCTGTGTATTTGAGGGTTAAATGTGGGGGGGGAGGGGGGTCTCCTATTACATCTCCAGCTGAGGCTTTAAATCCTGCTTGGGGGATAAGGAGATGGGAAACAGAAGCTTGGATCTCAAAAGAAAAAAAAGTCTTAATCCCTATCAAAATTTCAGTTGGTTTAAAGAAAACTCAAATACTGTAATCCAAACACTCCAAGAGAAAATCCACCATCCCAGTCCTCCACCTTTCTCTTCCCATTCCATAGCGTGGGCTGTCTTCGGCTGATTTTTATCACTTCCTCCCTCAATTATATTATTTAACTTCAGTCTCACCATTTTACTTATGAAATGTTTTAATTATTAATTTTATTCATTTATTTTTTGACTAGGTAGGTAATGCATGCCCATAACACAAAAAACTCACAAGGTCTGTAAACCAAAAATGATGTGTTCCTTTTTATGTGTGGCCTCCACGTCCCTCGTGGTGGAGGGGAGCGCCTTACGAGGAGCGTGGCAAAGCCCATCCCCCAGCCATGTCCCCCCCACCCCCATCCCCCCACCCGCGCCAGGTTGGCGGACTGTGGGTGCGGGCCGGGCCCCCCTTCTGGCTGCAGTGAGCCGGGCTGACGCGCGCACTGCGCAGACGCCCCGCTGCAGTGGGCGGGGCCTGTCTGTAGGCCCCGCCCCCATCCCCTCCTTCCTCACGCCCCTGCTCAGCCTGTCCGGGCAGAAGCTGGGGCCCCGCGGAGGTAGCAGCAGCCGCCTGCAGAGTAAGGCCTAAGTCCTTCAGGGGGAGGTGTTGGGGGGAAATGGGCTGTAGGGTGGTGGAAAGGCCCGGGTGGTCCTGGGTTCCGAACCTGAGCTGTCTGGTCTGGTAGGTTACCTGAGGATGAGGTCAGAGGAGCCACCTGAAAATGCGCCCTACGGAGTCCCAGAGCGCAAAGATTCGGGGCTCCCCTGATCCTAACCAGCATTTTTTTTTTGTTGGGCAGGTCTAGATTAGAACTCAGAGGAAGATTGAGAAGGGCGCTAATGGGGTAGGGGTGCTACGGGGGCGTTTATGGGGGGACAGCGTGGACGCTGAAGGAGGAGGGGGATGCAGAGGCTTTGGATCTTGAGGGATTTCGAAATCCCTGCTGCCCAGCGCCCAGCTTCCTCCTTTTGGGGTGACCGACGCAGTGCCAAGAGTCCCCGTGATCACGGGCAATGATCCCATAAACCCTAGACTAAACTGCCCTCTGTGGTGTCCCCCAAAAACCCAGAACACCCACACAGTGCCTCCTTTTGTCCCCCCAGTTCCGAGACCCTGCCTGACACACCCACCTTCCCGCCTGGGCTCTACTTACCCTCAGCTACCAGGCACGATGAAGCCCAAACTGATGTACCAGGAGGTAGGTGGAAGGGAGGCCCAGTGAGGAGGGGCTGGGTGCAGTGGAAGGTGGGAGACCCATTGAGCTGCACTGTTACACCCCCACCTACCATCCCCCAGCTGAAGGTGCCTGCTGAAGAGCCCGCCACGGAGCTGCCCATGAATGAGATTGAGGCATGGAAGGCAGCGGAGAAGGTAGGGTCCGTCTGCCCCTGATCTGTCCGGGGGACGGTTGGGCTGCAACCCCGCCTTGGGCAGGCTGACCGCCTCCTCCTCCCCACAGAAAGCCCGCTGGGTCCTGCTGGTCCTCATCCTGGCTGTGGTGGGCTTCGGTGCGCTGATGACTCAGCTGTTTCTATGGGAATATGGGGACTTGCATCTCTTTGGACCCAATCAACGCCCAGCCCCTTGCTATGACCCCTGCGAGTAAGTGGCAGGGGGAGCTGGATGTGGGGGGAGGGGCCCTGCCAGGCCAGGGGCAGGAGAACAGGGCCTTCGCTCAACCACACCCATTGCTGTGATAAGGAGATTGCAGATGCCCAAGTGCGTGCCCACCCCTTTCCCCCCCACACAGTGTTTCCATGGCAGCTACAGCGTCATCTTCTATGCAGATCTGTGAACAAGTAGACACGCACAGCATCCTCCATCCACACATGCAGCCTTCCACACCATCTCTAGACTGACAAATGCAGACACAGAGTCATGAGTACAGGCACATATATAAATACAGCCTTCCATCCACATCTGTGGGCAGACAGGTGAGCACTAGTGACCCAGGCCATTATCTCCCACCCCCTGTGGCTGATGCTAGCTCTACCCTCTCCCCCCTACTAGAGCAGTGCTGGTGGAGAGCATTCCTGAGGGCCTGGACTTCCCCAATGCCACCATGAGCAACCCCTCCACTAGCCAGGCCTGGCTGGGCCTGCTGGCTGGGGCTCACAGCACCCTGGACATCGCCTCCTTCTACTGGACGCTCACCAACAATGACACCCACACACAGGAGCCCTCTGCCCAGCAGGTATCCACTAGCCTGGGCCCTGGCTAATGGGGTGGAGGTGGGGTTTCCCCTGAAGCCCTAGAAACAGGTGGGTGTGACTCAAGAGAATTGGCCACAGGTGTTTGGAAGCATCTGTCTTCATAGGGTACTCTGGACTGTCAAAATCATCTACAGTCTTCTGAATGTCAGGGTGCTGGTTTGGTTACAAGGGATTAGGCTGACAGATGTCACTTGCCCACAAGCTACCCTGACACCATCACACAAAGAAATGAAAGAAAGGAACATATGAGGCACTCACAGCCTCAAACAAGGTGCCACCTATCAGCTAGTCATCTCCCCTCTCAGGCTTCAGTTTCCTTGTCTGTAAGATGGAGCCAACATATAGCACCTGTCTTGCAGGGCTCATGTGAGAACCCTGCAAGAGACTAATTCATGAAAAATTTTAGCACAGTGCCTAGCACAGAATCATCTTTTTGTAAGCGTTTGCTGTTAACATAGCCTTCCTAAACTGGGCATGATGGCACTGCCTGTAATCCCAGCATTCAGGAGGTTTAGGCAGGAGGATGCAAATTTGAAGCCAATCTAGGCTATATAGTGAGACCCTGCCTCAAAGCAACAACAAGAGCCGGGCTCTGGTGGCTCACACCTGTAATCCTAACTGTTCAGGAGGCAGAGATCAGGAGGATCTCAGTTCAAAACCAGCCTGGGCAAATAATTCAAAAGGTCCTATCATGAAAAAAGTCATCACAACAAAGGGCTGGTGGAGTGGCTCAAGGTATAGGCCCTGAGTTCAAACCCTAGTACCACAAAAAAAAAAAAAAGAAAAGACCAAACAAAACAGCCAGGTGCAGTGGTTCATGCCTGTAATCCTGTCATACAGAAGGTTGCGACAGGAGGATTGCAAGTTTGAGACCAATCTACATTGTGAGAACCTGTTTCAAACAATAAAAAAGAAAACAAAAACCCCTGATGAACGCACATGTGCAGGCTCCTACCAAAGTGAATCTTAGCAAATCCCATTGCACTAGAGTTCTCCAGTTCTCAGTTTCCTCACCTGCGCTGTGGGGATTGTAATCAACCCTGGTCATAGGCTTGTGGCAGTTCAGTGAGTTCAAACATGAAAAGCCTAGAACAGGGCCTGGCACACAGCAGGTACCAGAGAATGACTGGCTGTTACTTTTAACATTGTGCTGAGCTCACCCTATACCTTCCCCAGCCGGAGCCTCACCGCTAACATCCTAGGAGGCACGTGGGGGCCTATCCTTGACATTTCTAAAGTAATGAGTCTTTGGTAGGTCCCTGAAAGGGAAAAAGGCAGGAAGACCTTGGGAATGGGGGCGAGGGCGAGTCTCAGAGCAGCCAGGTAGACATTTAAAACAGATAAAGAAGAGCTTTAGTTTGGTGTCAGTGACTCACTCCTGTAATCCTAACTACTCAGAAGGATTGCGGTTCGAAGCCAGCCCAGTCAAACAGAGATCCTATCTCAAAAATGCCCAACACAAAACAGGGCTGGTGGAGTGCTTTAAGTGGTAGAGTGCCTGCCTAGCAAGGGTGAAGCCCTGAGTTCAAACCTCAGTACAATAAAAAAAAAAAAAGCTTTAATATTTTAATCTGTGAATCCTTTAATCTATAAAGATTAATGGAAAGCCTGTTCATTCTTACTCAGTCTCAGAGCTGAATCTTGCAGGGGTTGGAGTGCTGGCTGGCCCACCCCTGAGAAGCTGTTCCTTCCCTGCAGGGCGAGGAGGTGCTACGGCAGCTACAGGCCCTGGCACCTCGAGGTGTGAAAGTCCGCATCGCCGTGAGCAAGCCCAATGGGCCCCAACCACAGGCTGACCTGCAGGCCCTGCTGCAGAGCGGTGAGCTGGGGACAGGAGGGGTGGCAGGCCTGGGGCCATTCAAGCTGGCCCCTGACTGCTGCCCCTGTTGGCCTCAGGTGCCCAGGTCCGCATGGTAGACATGCAGAAGCTGACCCATGGAGTCCTGCACACCAAGTTCTGGGTGGTGGACCAGACCCACTTCTACCTGGGCAGTGCAAACATGGACTGGCGCTCACTGACACAGGTGTACCCCCACTCCCTGCCCAGCTTCCCTTCTAGGCCATGTCCTGCCACCTAAAGATCCTCCAATTCAGCCCTCCACTGCCCTCTCCCTGCTCCAACCTGGGGTTCCCTCCAGTCCGTCATGACAGCTGCCAGCCAGGCACAGGGCAGTCAAGGCCCTGGCCTCTCATTTGGCCCCCCCTATTCATTCCCTGCATGTCTATTCAAAACCCAGCTCTGTCCTGGGGGATGCTGGGAACATGGTGGTAACAGATGGACTTTGTGAATTTGCGGGATGGAGCCTGAACTGTCACCAGGCAGTGACAGCCTAGAGGGATCAGGATAAGGGCAGGTGCAGGCAGAGGGCTGGGGATGAGATGGGGAGGTGCAGTGGGTAGTGGGGAATGGGACAGGACATCAGAAGGAGGTGATAACTAGGCTGATAAGCCAAAGAATTTGCAGGAATTAGCATGAGAGAGGAAAGCAGGAGCAGCCTAGGCGGTGATGTGAAGAAAGAGGACAGGACATCGGTTCCTTAATTCATTTCAACAGATACTTCTGCAGTGTCACCCACAATGCAGGGCGATGTTGGAGATCCAGCTGTGGCCAGGACACCCCTGGTACCTGTCCTCCTGCCAATGGGGAGATGGGTTTGACACTACTGCAGAGAATGAGGAAGGAAGCCCGAGGGTGCTGAGAGCTCAGGGGAACGCCTGGCACAGTCTGGGCAGTCCAGGGAGGCTTCACGGAGGAAGAAACACTTCACTTTAGACCTAAGAATGAGCAAGAGCTAGTTGGGTACAAGGCAGAAGCCACAGAATATGCAAAGCTTCCAGGGCTTGGGGGTGTGGCTTATGGCCCTGAGCTCCAACTCCAGTATTGCCAAAAAAGAAAATAGCTTCAGGAAACCTGGAGCTTTGGAAAAACAGAAGGATTTTCTACAAAGCTTGAGTCAAATTCATGCCTGTGAACTTAAGGTCTTCAGGTTGAAGATCTAGGAAAGATTGAGGGACACAGAGGAGAATGGGCTGGTTGTCCTTGACCTCAGCACTGCCCTCCCACAGGTCAAAGAGCTGGGCGTGGTCATGTACAACTGTAGCTGCCTGGCTCGAGACCTCACCAAGATCTTCGAGGCCTACTGGTTCCTGGGCCAGGCAGGCAGCTCCATTCCGTCAACCTGGCCCCGGCCTTACGACACCCGCTACAATCAAGAGACACCGATGGAGATCTGCCTCAATGGGACCCCTGCTCTGGCCTACCTGGCGGTGAGTCTGAGGGAAGCAGGATGGTCACACGCCATCACCCACAGCCTCCCTCTGGCCCTGCCTGATGATGGTTGGGAGGGGTGCCCTGACCGCTGGTCTTCAGGCCCTGTCAGGAGCCTGGGAAGTGTTTCAGCCTCCCTAGACCTCCGTTTCATCTGGAAAATGAGTACCTAGTATTTCTAACCTCTGGATGAGATGCAGCTGGGTTCATGCACACCAAGTCCTTCACATCACCCCATATAGCAACAGGTGAATTTCCATTAAAATAAGTTAGGCCTGGGGGTGTGGCTCAAATTACATAGTGCTTGCCTAGCAAGTGTGAGATCTGGGTTCTATCCCAGTAACCACACACACACACAAAAAAAAAGAATTAGAATTAAATACAGTGCTCAGTACACACACTGGAAAGTGGCTACCATATTGGAAGGCATAGAGACAATGTTTCCATCACTGCACAAAGCTTATGGGACAACTCTGCCTTTTGTGTATGTATGTGTGGTGTGTGTGTGTGTCTGTGTGATTTTGGAGTTTGAACTCAGGGCTTTTCATGTGCTAGACAGGCTCTGTGCCACTTGAGCCACACCTCTAGCCCTTTTTCTTTCTTTTTTTTTTTTTTATTTAAGACAGGGCCTCACTGTCTTAAATAGGCTGGCCTCAAACTCAAGATCCTCCTGCTTCAGCCTCCTCAGTGCTGGGATTACAGGCATGTACCACCATGCCCAGCCAGCTCTTGCCCTGGAGCAGATGTTGAGCACATGAGACAAGGCATTACTACTTTTAGCTGTTGATGTTTTTCCCAGTTGGGGTGAGCCACCTGGATCCCAGCAAGTCACCTGGCCAAGCCCAGGGTCACTGTGGAAGGCACGATGGCTTGTATGTAAGGAAGCGTGATTCACTGGGGTCCTTTGCTACAGTGGTCTGCTCTGACCACCAAGGCTTCTTCCTCCATGACCACTTTCCCTTTCAGAGTCTCAGGGTTATCATCCATCTGGAGAATTGAGGGGGCTGGGCATGTCACTGGACACAGAGGACCTGTGCAGTCAGGCCAGCTGTAAGCAAGGCAGCGAAGAGAGTGAATGGAACAGACCATGGCTACAATCACCTGAAGGGCTTGCTGAGACCAGGAGATCCCTAGTTGGGTATGGTGGTACACACCATAATCACAGCACTCAGGAGGTGGAATCATGAGGATCTAGAGTTCAAAGCTGGTCTGGGCTCTACAGTGAATTCCAGGTCAAAGTGGGCTATATGAGAAGACCCTGTCTCAAACAGCCAAAGGCTCTTGCCTATAATCCTAGCTACTTGGGAAGCTGAGATTGGAAGGATTACAGTTTGAGGCCAGCTTCAGGAAAATAGTTTGCAAGACTCTCTTCAAAATAACGGCGGGGTGGAGGGGGTGAGAAGGGGGGAGAAATGACCCAAACATTGTTTGCACATATGAATAAAAGAAAAAAAAAATCAGAGCAAAGTGGACTAGAGGAGTGGCCTGCTTTGCGAAGCCCTGAGGTCAAACCTCAAACCCATCAATTGAAAAAAAGAAAGAAAGAAAAGGCTGGCAGAATTGCTTAAGCAGTAAGAGTGCCTCCCTATCAAACTTGAGTCCCTGAGTTCAAACCCCAGTGTCGCCTAAAATATGAATAAATAAAAAGTCAAAGCAGGAAAAAGAAAAGGATCCCTAGACTCCACCCCAGCATTCTGATTCAAGAAGTCATACACAGTGAGGTCCATGAATTTTCATTTCTCTCTCTCTTGTTTTCTTCTCTTTTTTTTTTTTTTTTATACTGGGGTTTGAACTCAGAGCTTTCTCCTTGAGCCACTCCACCAGCCCTATTTTTTGTGAAGGGTTTTTCCAGATAGGGTCTCCTGAACTATTTGCTTGCGCTGGCTTTGAACGGTGATCCTCCTGATCTCTGCCTCCTGAGTAGCTAGGATTACAGGCGTGAGCCACCAGCGCCTGGCTTCTTTCCTTCTTTCTTTAGGTGGTACTGGGATTTGAACTCAGGGCCTTGCATGTGCTAGGCAGGCCCTTTACCACTTGATTTTTTTCTTTTTTGTTTTTTTCTTCCCTTTACCACTTGAGAAGAAATTTCTAACAAGTTTCCAACTGATGCTGTTGCTGCTGAATCAGGAATCACTTATACTCACTTAGAGCATAAATTGTGGAACCAGGCAGCTCGGCTTCAAATCCTGGCTCCATTAATCAGCTGTGTGACCTTGGACAAGTCGCTTACCCACTCTGAGCTTGTTTACTCACCTGTGAAATGGATTATCCCTCCCCTTTGCAGAGGCTGAGGATTCAGTGAGATCCAACAGCTCTTGGTGAGCTGTCCACACACAGGGTGCCCTGCGATGATGGCCCTGGCAGGGGACTTTTCTTGACTGTCTTCTCACCCTTAGAGTGCACCCCCACCTTTGTGTCCGAGTGGCCGCACCCCAGACCTGAAGGCTCTGCTCAGTGTGGTGGACAATGCTCACAGCTTCATCTACATCGCGGTCATGAACTACCTGCCTACCATGGAGTTCTCCCGCCCGCGCAAGTACTGCTGGGCGTGGGCGGGGCTCAGGATGGGGAGCCCCTGTGGGGGAGCGAGGGGCCGGCTCAGAGAGCAGACAAGGGGGTCAAGTCAAGAGGACAGATGGAAGCGAAAGCACAGGGAAACAGAGGTGGTAGGAAGAGAGTGACTAGACGTTCAAGGTAGGCAAAAGACGGAGTTACTGAGAATACAGGGATGAGGTGGGGGAAACAAAGAAAAAAGATGAGACTGTTAAGGTAGGGAGCAGGAATGGGGAGGTGGGGCTAGAGACTGAGGCAAGAGTGCAGGGTGTGGGGTTTGGAGAAGTAGAAAGCATGGACTGGAAGCCAGGTGCAGTGGTGCATACCTGTAATCCCCGAACTCAGGAGTTGGAGTCAGGAGGATTACAAATTCCAGGCCAACGTGGGCTGTATAGGGAGATTTAGCTCCAAAAAAAAAGGATGATTGGGCCTGGGTTGGGGCTTAAAGAAGGCAGTGTGGGATCAGCAGATAAGATGGAAGGACTAGCTGGTGCTGGTGGCTCACGCCTGTAATCCTAGCTACCCAGGAGGCAGAAAGCAGGAGGATCACAGTTTGAAGCCAGCCCAGGAAAACAGTTCACAAGACCCTATCTCAAAAAAAAAAACCCATCACCAAAAGGGCTGGTGGAGTGGCTCAAGGTGTAGGCCCTGAGTTCAACCCCCAGTACCGCAAAAAAAAAAGATGGAAGGATTGAGTTTGCTAGGAATGGAAGCCAGAACAGGAGACAATGGATCGAAAGAGGCTCTCAGAAGCCAACACGAGACCCAGGGTTGGATCCCCAAAGCTGAGAGTGAAACCTGTGGATAAAACTGCCTCCTCCTGATCCTCTCTCCACCTCATCACTCTCCCAGATTCTGGCCCGACATTGACGACAGGCTACGGCGAGCCACCTATGAGCGGGGTGTCAAGGTGCGTCTGCTCATCAGTTGCTGGGGACACTCTGAGCCATCCATGCGATCCTTCCTGCTGTCCCTGGCTGCCCTGAGGGACAACCACACCCACTCTGACATCCAGGTGGTAAGCAACCACCCCACCCCTCCACCCTGTATAGGCCAGTGTTAGGGGTACCTCCTGTTTAGAGCTCTGGACAGGATGGAGAAGCACAGACAGAGGGTCAGGGATGGGGTGGAAGGTGCAGGCAGAAGATAGGGGACCCAACTGCATACCCACCCTTCAGTCCCGTGGCTTTTGTGACCTCTCACCTGCACTTCACACACTTCACCATCCTCCCTTCCTTTCCCTGGCAGAAACTCTTCGTGGTCCCCGCGGATGAGACCCAGGCCCGAATTCCCTATGCGCGTGTCAACCACAATAAGTACATGGTGACTGAACGTGCCACCTACATTGGTGAGTGTCCTTAGCACAACCAGAGTAGTTGAAAGGAGGAAGGGTCCAGGCCTAAGGCCTGGCCACCCCATGGGGCCCTTACTCTCCCCCCTAACCCCCCCCAGGAACCTCCAACTGGTCTGGCAGCTACTTCACGGAGACCGCAGGCACCTCTCTGCTGGTGACTCAGAACGGGCGCGGTGGCCTGCGCAGTCAGCTGGAGGCTGTTTTCCTGAGGGACTGGGACTCCCCGTACAGCCATGACCTGGACACCTCAGCTGACAGCGTGGGCAATGCCTGTCGGTTGCTCTGAGGCCTGGTCCAGTGGACAGGCTGAGGCCTTCAAGGCCCCCATGGACCCAGATGCTCTGGGTCCTGGTCCCTGTCTCCATGCCCCTGCTTTTGTCTGCCCCTTTGTGGCTCCACGGGCTCTCCCCTGCGCTCCCGCCGCTACCTCCACCCTCACCGGCCTGACGCTATGGCCCCAGGACCTAGCAGAGCTTGGGGAGGGATCAGCCCCCAAAGAAGTGGGGGGTGCATGCTGGGCCCAAACCCCTGGCCCACCCCCCTCTCCAGGGCAAAGAGGGCCCAAAATTATAATAAGTAAATAATTGTCTGTACAGCCTGTGCCTGACTGAGTGGTGTGGGATGGGGTGTCAGGTAAGGGATAGCTGGCATGGACCTCAGGAGGGGATAGCTTAGTGTGCTAAGCCCTCAGCTTGTGACCTGTGTGGTTTGCCACACGCTGGGCATGCAGTGTCAGGCTGGCACAGACTGAGCACGGACGTAGCCAGCATGGGATGGCGTGTGCTACACACCAAGCATGTTCCCGGATAGAGGAGCACGACCTGCGTCATCACCATTTCCCCAGCGGGACCGGCATGCCTATGTAGCAGAGCAGGAATTCATACCTGCCAAGTGAATGTACACTTAGCATGTCCCAAGCATGGGGAGTGCATGCCACCACATGTAGCAAGGACAAGTTCACAGCATTTGGCGAGTTCAGATGAGCTGAGAGAATGTTCTGAGTGAGGCTGCATTCTCAGAGGACAGGTTCATGCGCCCAACAACAGCCTTTCTCTCCCAGTGCCACAGCAGCCTGAACCGGTGGCCAGCTGGGCACAGCTCCACAGAGCCAGGCCCTAGGTGTCAACCTGGACCTGGGCAGCCCAAGCTCAGGCAGTGAGGACGGGTCACAGGAGGACTGCTGAACAGTTCTTTATTGAAATAGGTGGAGGCCGCAGGGCCAAGTTCAAGCTCAAGGCCAGTGGGGTGCAACTATCTTCCTGTACCCCCGGCCGAGGCCCCGGCCAGGCTCTAGAGGCCTCCAGTGTTTGGGGGACAGGGTGCAGGCATGTGCTGAGGGTTGGGGGTGAGGATTCTGGATAACTCTTTTTCTGTAAAAATAATTTGTGGGTTTGAGGATGGCTGTGTGGAACAGTTCAGTTCAAGCAGGGATGCCAGCCCCAGTAATGGGCAGGGATGAGGTCACCATCAGTGGTGCCCACCAACGTGCTGCAAGAAGCTGGTGGCTCGGGGAGGACCATGCGGGTGGGGGTGGCGGGGTGGAAGCCCTTGAGCCCATGGTCCCCGAACACCCTCCAGGGTCCAGTCTGGCTCACTCAAGCACTCGCCAGGACAGCTGCCAGGATCAAAGAGTTCGGGGCCTGACCTCTGTTGAGGAGAAGAGAGGGGCTTCAGCAAGGAGTGTGAGTGACTTGTGGGGCGCCTTAGCATCTGCTGGGACTCTGCCAGCTCTTTTGGCCACTTTTTTTTTTTTCAGTCCTGGGAATTAAACCCAGGGCTTCAAGCTTGCCTAGCATGCTCGAGCCATGTCCCCTGCCCTTTTTGTTTTTACTTTGTTTTTGAAGCAGGTCTTACTACCTTTGCCAGGGTTGGCCTCAAACTTTCAATCCTCCTACCTCCGCCTCCGGAGTAGCTGGGATCACAGGCATGCACCACCACTTCTAGCCCTTGGCTACTTCATACAGGTTCACTACTGAGTCCTGAGTTTTAGTCATAGCCTGAAGGAGGGTTAGTGTTGGCCGAGCCTTGTCCTGACCTAAGGGTATAAGTGCAAGCTGAGCCTTATCACCTAATATGGTGTGTTCACATTTGCTGAACCTTTGTCAGGATGTGGGTTAACATACACTGAGCCTTGCCACATCTAGGGGCCTGTGCCAACTGCAGATAATACAGATGAGTGGGAGGCACAACCTGGTCCTTCATGTCCCCACCTTGGAGTGAGCTCTAGGGGAGGGCTTGACCCAGAACCACCCCCCAGCCCCAACTGCACACCACCTGCCAGCCCATCTGGCTTACCTCAGCATCCATGGTCATGTCCTTGATGCTAGGCCCATCCCCTTCCCGCTGTGGGATGGTAGGCAGCTCCGCAGAGGCCCCTTGGCACTCTCCTTCCTCCCAGCCACTGCCCCTGCAGGGCCCAGAATCCTCAGGTGAGGCCTGGCTCAGCCGGATGAGGTTACTGAAGTTGGAGTCGGACTTGGAGCCGGCAGGTGGCTTTCGGGCCTTATGGCAGCCTACCAGGCGGCTGCCATAGAAGGCCAGGATGGGCTCTGGGCCTGACTCGGGGACCCAGCGGCCAGTGGTGGCTGCCTTCAATGGGGCCAGAATGTCAGAGACCGCATCGGCTCGGGTCTCGCTCCACAGCCCTCGCCCAGCCTCTTGCAGGCTCAGGTCATCAAGCTGGTCGATGGCTCTCTGCACGCCAGGGGCCTTCTCCTCCTGGAAGAAGGGCCCATTGCCTGCCACGCTACCCATGCTCATGGACTCCTCCTCCTCGGCCAGTCGGTAGTAGGGGGGCCCGTCCTCGGCGGCAGCGACCATGGGCGGGAGAGACTTGCCCTCCACCTGCAGCGACAGGCGGCAGCTGCGCAGCGAGAGCTGGTAGTAGCGAGTGTTCTCGTGCGCACTGCGCAGCTGCTGCATGGACACGAAGGGGTGGCGCAGGGCCGCGCTGGGGCTGATGCGCTCGTGCGACTCCCACGTCAGCATGCGCTTGATCAGCTCTACCATGCTCTTGAGGTCGGCGTGCTCCGCCAGCACCTCGCGGTCCGGGAAGGTCAGCCGGCTGGCAGCCCCGCCGCCATTCACTGTCTCGATCTGGTCCAGGGACTTGAGCATGTACTTGCGGCGTTCCAGTGGGCGCACCTGGAGAAGGGTGGAGAATACAGAGGTGTCCCGCTAGGAGAGCCACACCTGCTCCCTCATACCAGACCCCGCCCCCAGCCTTTTGTTTGTTTGTTTTGAGACGATCTCCCGATCTCCCTTTGTACCCTCAGCTAGCCTCACTCATGATCCTCCTACCGCTGCCTCCAAAAGTGCTGGGATTACAAGCATGTATCACCATACCCAGCCTCAGACCTCCCCTTAGCCAGAGCTCTTCTGCTGCCAGGAGGGACACCTGGCTGTGCTCTGAGGTCTTCTTGTTACCTAACCCAGAGCCCTCAGTGACCCAAGCTCCACACCTCACTCCAGATCTCCAGTCTTCTTCAGAGCTGTATCCAGCCCCTACCAGCAGCTGGCAGAGGGCTGCTCAAAACCTCCAGTCCTCTCTGGAGTCTAATTTAGGCTGTTGCTTCCCACACCTGATCCCAGGCCTCCCAGTGGTCTGACCACAGACCCTTCTTGCTGTGAAAACTCCCCTAGCTGGCCCCAAACTTCTGGTCCCCTCGGCTGTGTAACTCAGACTCATGTTGTACAGGGTTGATGGTTGCAACCATAGAGGTAGCAGCAGATGGGTTGCCCTAAACATCTAGTCCCACCTGGGGTCTCGCTCACATTCCTCTTTCTGTTGCCACTCATACTTCACCCCACAGCCCGTTTTCTCTGTGGTCTACCTCGAATACTTCATGCTGCACAAGTCGTTGCTCCCAGAACTGAAGGTGGCAAAAATGCTGCCCTCATTTTGCTGTCACGCTTGCCGTATAACCCAGTCACCCCCAGATGTGTCTTGCTGCAGTTTTTTTTTTTTTGCCCGAGCTGGCTTCAAATCCCAATTCTCCCATCTCTGCCTCTTGTGTAGCTGGAATTACAGGAGTGCACCACCATACCCAGCTAACATAGATTGTTGATAGCGGCCCACATACTGACCACCCCAACTCCGCCTGCCCCCTACCTTAGTCTCGGCCAGGTAGTCAGCAGAGGACTTGAGCTGCCAGGGGTTAGTGGCATCAGGGTGGGGGTTGCGCTTGAAGAAGTGGTGGGCCTTGCGGGCGGCGTGCAGCAGGTGCGGCTTGGGCAGGCCCTGGGTCTCACAGATGTAGCGCACCTGGTCGTACTCATTGTTGCCTGGGTAGAGGGGCCAGCCCAGGTGCAGCTCAGCCATGACGCAGCCCAGTGACCACACATCCACCTTCTCACAGAAGGGCAGCCCCAGCAGAATCTCAGGGGCCCTGTAGAACCGGGACTGGATGTACGGCTCCTTTACATAGCGCACCTCGCTGAAGATGCTGGCCGAGCCAAAGTCGATCACCTGTCGATCACAAGGGCCAAGTGGGCAGGGATCACCTGGTGTCTCTTCCCTGGTGCCTTCTGCATCTGTCATTTGAATCTGGCTGTCTCTGTGCCCTTGAGCCTTCCTTTCTCATGTCTCTTTCTAGTGCTGTCTTCTAGTCGTTGTCTCTGTGTTATGTGCCTTGACCTCTGTCTGATTCTCTGTACTACAATTGTACAACCCTCTGGGGTTGGGACCCTCCTCTTTTACCCCATACTTGTCTATCAGCAAATCTTATTTGGATCCGTCTTTTATTTTTTTTTAGGGTGGGGAAGGCAGTGTTCAGGATGGAACCCAGGGTCTTGTGCATCTAAGCCAGCACTCTATCACTGAACCACATCCCCAATCCTTGGTGTTTTGAAACAGGGTCTACTATGTAGCTCAGGCTGGTCTTGAACTCAAGATCCTCCTGCCTCTATCTCTCAAGTGCTGGGATTACAGGCATGAACCACCACACCCGTCCGGCTCCATCTTCTAAACAGACTCAACCTTTTCACTCTGCCTCCCATCTGCAGCTTCCACCAAGACTAACACAGAGGCTTCCCCGCTGGCATCCCTCATTTGCATCTTGAGGAATCTTGGGGCTACCTGAGTCAGATCACATCCATCCTCTGCCCACACTCGCATCTGTGAGAAAAGCTGAAGTCCTCATCATAACACCTGCCCCATCACCTCTCTGCTGTCATCTCCACTGACTGCCCTCTCACACCCTCCCTCCAGCTACATAAGGCTCCTCACTATTCCTTGAAGAGACTGGACACATTTTCAGCTCAGGGCCTTTGTGCTGGCTGTTCCCTCTGCCTTGAATGCCCTTCCCCACAATGCAGCTCCTTCCCTCGGGTCCTTATTTCCAGGTCACCTCAGTGAGGCCATCCCTGGCCATCCTGTCAAAAATGGCAGCCCCCGCCTTTTCTATCCACTTACTAGCTGTCTGCTTTTGGAAGTGATTTTTAACACCATTTCACAGACTATATAGTTTAGTTTTTAAACATAGGCTCTCAACTATGTACCCCAGACTGGCCTGGAACTCTCCACCTTTCTGTCTCTGACTCCCGAGTGCAGGGATTACTGTCCTGCACCACCACACCTGTTTGTATTTTACTTTTTTTTTTTTTTAAATCAAGTTCATTGTTTCTCTCCCCAACTAAGGATGCCAGTTCCACAAGGACAGGATTTTGTGGTTTATTTATTTTTGCCAGCACTTGGATCTGAACTCAGAGCCTCAAGCTTGCTAGGCCGCTGTTCTTCTTGCTTGAACCACTCTGCCAGTCTTTGTGTGTGTGTGTGTGTGTGTGAGATGAGTTTTTTCGAGATAGGGTCTCTCAGACTGTTTGCCTGGGGCTGGCTTGGAACCTCAATCCTCCTGAGTAGCTAAGATTACAGGTGTGAGATTTTGTCTTTTGTTCAAGGCTGCCATGTCTCTAGACACAGAACACTGTCTGGCACACAGTAGGGGTTCAAAATGGGTGAACAGATGGAGTTTACATCTGGGTCAATCATCCTTTCTCTCATTTGAATCTGTCTCTCATTGTTTCTTTGCAACTGCTGCTTCCCCATGGCTTGTCTCTCAGTGTCCCTCTCTGCCTTCATCGCTGTCACCCACTAGAAAAGCACTGCCCTGCAGTCCAGGACCTCTTCTGCCTTTACCACTAGGCACTGTCAACACCTTGCACAGGCACTTGGCATGTGACAGGTACCTCCAGATCACGTGGAACCAGCAGAGTGAATGACTAAAGCCTTTGTCTCTCTGCACGCTGCTGGGTGGTGCTCTGTCATCTTCACGTGCAGTCTGCATGACTTTTGGTCAAGGCTTCAGTTTATCCTTTCTGAGTTTCTCTGTTTTTATTCAGCCATCCCTCACCATCTGTTCACGGAAGGCCAGATCATGAAATAGTTATTAATCTGGACTCTGAGCCAAGCCCCCTGGAGCCTGCACCTCTGAGAAACTGAGTGACACTAGACGTTGGGCCAGTGCTTGTGGGATCTGTCCCTACATTCCACAAATATGTAGCCAGGTGTTGTCTGTCCCCTGCTGTGTCTGTGGAAGTTTCTTCCTCCCTGGGTCTCTGTCTGTCCATCTCTCAGGTAAGAATGATGTCTTCTCCTGTCTCCGTGTCTCTCACAAACACTCATTTAGCACTGAATGCAGATGTGAGCTAGGAGAGGCCCAGGACCAATACTTCATCCCAGCCCTGCCCTCAGGGTGCTCCCAGGTCAAACCCATCACCAGTTACAAACGCGTGAGCAGGCTGGTGAGTCACAGCTGGATTGGGGAGGTAGAAAGAGGTCAAGGATGGGATAGGGAGGCACAGGCAGAGTCCAGGAAGGAATGGGGAGGTGCAGACAGAGGACTAGTTGGGAAGAGGAAAACTCGCAGCCAGTGAGAGCCCAGAGGCAGAGCCTGTGTGCCCATATAGGATGGGTGCAGAGCACCCTGAGGGATGGGATAACCTCAGGACTGGGGCATAGAGGACCTCAGAATTGGAATGGGAGATGTGGGCTGGGGGTCAGCAGGTAGAAGAGACACCATGGAGAGGTATTAGAGCAACAGAGCGACCCAGCTTGCAGCTGCTCAGGCCAACAGGCTTCCCTCCCCTCATGTCCTCTCCTCTCCTCTCCTCGTGTCATGCCCATCAAGGGATTCTGTCTCATCTAGCTCCAAAATCTACCCAGAACCCAAGATGCCATGACTCTGTCCCATCACCCATGTTTCCCACGTGGGCCAGCACAAGTCACCCCTCTGTCCTGCTCTTGTCCCCTCCCCAGGGTGCACCCCTCACACAGCCAGAAGCAGCCTGTGCCCACCTGAGTCAGACCACATCCCTCCTCGCTCAGAATTCATCTGTGGCTCCATCTTAACACAGAATCAAACCAAAGTCTCTGTTATGCCTTACAAGGGCATGCCTGACTCCATGCCATCACCTCTGGTTTGTTTGTTTGTTTGTTTTTGGCTGCACTAGAGTTTGAACTTGGGGCCTCATGCTTGCTGGGCAGGCACTCTACCAGTTGAGCCACTCTGCCAGCCCCACCATTACCTCTTGATCTCATTTTCTCCCTCTTACCCCATTCAACTCCAGCCCTAATAGGCCTCCTCAGTGTTCCTCTAATACGTACACTTGGTGCATCCCTACCTCGGGGCCTTCGCACTGGCTGTTCCTTTTGCCTGGATGCTTATTCCTCCAGATGTCTACACAGCTCCCTCCCTCCCGCAGGGCATCCTTCAAACATTCACCTTCCCTGACCACCTGGCCTAAATGTTCAGTCATCACCATGTCCCATCCCTAATCAAGACCCCGTAACTTCCTCATCCCAATCTCTCTTTTCTCCTCCTCACTCCCAGGCCATGTTTGACTGCTTATTCTTGTGACTCTATCTCCCCCACTGGAATGTCAGTCCCACAAGGACAGGACTGGGCCAGAGGAGATGAGCTGAGGATGACACAGGATGGTGAGACCTCAGAACTGGGATGGAAAACGGCGAGGGGCTATGGGCCAACAAGAAGAGATACCATGGAGAGGTTAGGGAGCCATCAGGGCCAGCAGGTGGGACAAGGGAGACCTCCCTGTTGGAAAGAGCCACTGCCCCGGGCAGGCAGCCGTGCTCACCTTGACCCTGAAGGGGCATCGGGTCTGGTCCACCAGCATGATGTTCTCTGGCTTGAGGTCAGCGTGGATGATGGCCAGCTCCTTGAGCCGGGCCAGGGCTCTGAGCACCTGCAGGGTGACCGTGCGGATGTGGCGGGCAGGGAGGGGTGCGAAGTTGTTCTCCTTCTGGAACTCGAAGAGGTTTTGCTCCAGCAGCTCGAAGACCAGGTAGAACTTGAAGGCGTCATGGAAGAACTCCAGGAAGCGGATGACATGGGCCTCGTCGGGGTCCAGGCCTCGCATACAGCGCAGGAGCTTCAGCTCGTTCTTGATGATGCGGCTGCGGTATGCGTCGTTCTTCAGAATTTTGATGGCCACCATCTCACCTGTGCTCCGTCGCCAGCCCTTGGCCACCTCCCCGAAAGTGCCCTTGCCCAGCACCTCGATGATGTCATAACAGTCGGTCTCTGACTGGATGGTGGCCATGGTGCCCTGGCCACCAGTCACCACCCTGTCCTGACCCCTGAACCACGGGCTTTGTCGGCAAAGCCTCCTGCCCAGCCGCCGACCCTTCCGGGCCCCCAGTGCAGGAAAGAGAACCACACTCGTGCCCTCCCCTACGAGGTTGGCCCCCACCTTCCTGGCACCCCTCGGCCCCCTTGGCCACACGGCAAGTCTGTCAGGGGCTGTACCCCTCCCCCAAAGCCCTCCCGGCTTGGGTTGAGGGGCCCCAGGCCTCCCCAAATGGGTTCCAGTGTTGCTGAGTGGCTCTGGTTCTGTTGTTGGAGACCTGAGCCCTGGGCTGGAATGGGGGGTGGGGTGCCAGGTCAGGCCCCCCCTCCCCCACCCAGTGGCGGAACCCTGGAGAGGCCAGAGAGGTTGGCAGAAGAGGGAGTATGATTGTTGACCTTGGGTATAAGAAATGGGGACACACGTAAGTCAGAAGCGAGAAACAGAAGACATTTCAAGTTAGGTAAGTGTGTGTGAGTTTCCAGAAAACACCTGCTCCAGCCTAAGGCTGCCATCATCCTGAGGTGTGGCCGGGGCTAGAGTCAAGTTGTAAAAGGCCCTGAATGCAGGCTAAAGAGTTTGCACTTTGTTCTGAGTGCACTGGGGAGCCACAGAAGGGCCTTGACAGAGGGAGGGCAGGGTCAGAGCTGAGTGTCAGGAAGCTTCTATGCCAGGTGCCAGTGGCTCACGCCCATAATCCTAGTTATTTGGTTCGAGGCCAGCCCAGGCAAATAGTTCTCGAGATCCCATCTCCAAAATAACCAGAGCAAAATGGACTGGAGGTGTGGCTCAAGCAGTAGAGCGCCCCTGAGTTCAAACCTCAGTCCCACCAAAAAAGATGAAAGAAAGCTTCTATGTGAAGAATAATTGGAAGGCCCCAAACCCTGAAGGGACATGGCCCAAGTGGCCAGGGGCAGGGAAGGGCAGAGGAGGTGGTGAATAAGACATCTGGAAGGCAAGGACGGGCCAGGAACTGACAGGTTGGGCTGGAGGTAGAAAGCTGCACAAGGTCTAGTCCCTGACAAGGAGACATGGATAAGGAACAGTTTAGAGGAGAAAAGCTGAGGTCAGATTGGAGAGTATCAAATCATTTCAACATGGCCAGGCATAGTGGCTCATGGAGCCTGTAACCCCAGTTACTCAGGAGATGGAGATCAAGAACCTCATGGATTAGCTGGGTGCTGGTAGCTCACGCCTGTAATCCCAGCTACTCAGGAGGCAAAGATCAGGAGAATCACAGTTCAAAGCCAGCCCCATACAGATAATTTGCAAGATCCTGCATTGAAAAAACCCATTACAAAACAAGGACCAGCAGAGTGCTTTCAAGTGGTAAGAGCACCTGCCTAGCAACTAGCAAGCAGAGGCCCTGAGTTCAAATCCCAGTACCACCACCAAAAATAAAAAATAAAAATAAATCATGGATTAAGGCCAGCTGGGGCAAAAAGTTAGTGAGACTCCACCTCCACTAATAAGCTAGGCATGGTGTTTGTGCAGGGGAGGACACAGGTAAGAGGACCACAGTCAAGTCTAGCCTGGGGGCAAAAACACAAAACCCTGTCTGAAAAATAACCTAAAAGCACAACTCCACATGCTCGCCTCTCCTTGTTCTCTCTTTGTCATCTTTCTATGCTGTCATAATAGTGCACATAAGTGTCCTGGTTGATGCTCTCATAGGAACCAACAATGCTGAAGAAAAGAGGTAAACTCCAGGTCCTTATGAGGCTATAAAGTTATCATCCAGTTTTTTTTGTTTGTTTGTTTGTTGTGGGACTAGAGTTTAAACTCAGGGCTTTGTGCTTGCAAAGCAGGCAGTCTGCCACTTGAGCCACACCTCCAATCCATTTTGTTCTGGTTATTTTGGAGATAGGGGCTCAAAAACTATTTGCCCAGGCTGGCCTTGTACCTCAATCCTCCTGATTATAGGCATGAGCCACCCAGCCCAGCTAGCATCCACTTTCTAACTGTGATGATGAAACCTGGTTACATTGGTGAATCTGAAACCACTGAGGGTCAAGAGCTGGGAAAATTGTGGTGAGCCTCACAGGCAGGTTAAACAAGTGTGGTGTGATAGCCCCAAATTTGATGTGCAGCTCAGAGACCTAGAAAAATGGCAGAATGATCTGTCCCCACCTGTCAGTTTAGTTTCATTGTGCTGATGTCAGCAAGTATCATGCACCAAGAAGCAGGACCAGGGCTTCTTTTTCTAGGGACATAAAATATACATGGGAATAAAATGCCTCAATGGACAAAAAAATAAGTGAAGAATAATTAAATACAAGCTGGGCACCAGTGGCTCACGCCTATAATCCTTGCTACTTCAGGAGACAGAGATCAGGAGGATTGCAGTTCAAAGTAAACCCTGGGTATATAGTTCAGGAGACCCTATCTTGAAAAAAACCATCACAGAAAAAGGCCTGGCAGAGTGATTGAAGTGGTAAGACAGCCTGCCTAGCAAGAATGAGGCCCTGAGTTCAAACCCCAGTGCTGTCAAAAAAAAAAAGAGGAATAAATACAAAAGAACCTAAAAGCAATAAAGGGCTGGCGGTGTGGATCAAGTGCAGAGCTCTTGCCCAACAGACACAGAACCCTGAGTTCAATCCCTGACCAGCTCAGATCCAACACCCACATACCAGGGGCAGGCTGCAGGACTACTGGTTCCCCAGTGGGACACAGAACAGTCTGAGAGCTGTCAGCACAGAAGTGAGGGTGGAAACCACTGGGGAGGGTGACAAAGCCCAGGGTGGCTGTGGGGATGGATGGGGGCCTGGAGGAGCCCTGAAGGTCGGGAAGTATGGAGGTTCCCTAAGATGTCTGGCCAAGAGAGCTGAGGGTGAACTCAGGGACTTCAGTGCAGAGGGCTTGCCCAGTTTGCATGAGGCCCTGGGTTCCACCCCAGCACCATGTTAAAAAAAAAAAGTCAGGACAAGGAAGACGGAGAAGGCTTTAGGGAGGAAGCCACAGAGGCCGCTGCCGACACTGAAGGCCAAAGAAGTGGAAGGAAAACCCCAGGCCCTGGGGGATGGGCAGGGGACTGCACCACGAGCATAGATAACTTTTTTTTTTTTGCAATACTGGGGATTGAACCCAGGACTTTGCACATGCTAAGCAAGTGTTCTACCACTTGAGTAATGCTCCCAGCCCTTTTGTTTGGATTTTGGTTTTGAGATAGGGTCTTGCTAATTTTGCCCAGGGTGGCTTTGAACTTGCCATCCTCTTACCTCTAACTCCCTAGTTAGCATGCACCACCCCACCTGGCTGAGTGTAGTTAACTTCTGCTATATGGTTATTGGTGACCAGGTTTCACGTGTAGCCTAGGCTGACCTTGAACTTGTGATCCTTCTGCCTGTCTCCAGAGGGAATGCTGTGATTAGAATTGTGTACCACCATGCCCAGCTAACTTCTGTTATGTGTGGTGGGGACACTGTGTAGTGACCTGACTTGGGGAGCTGACTGGAAGGCTAAAGTTAGTAAGTGGGGGCCCATGTCCCTTGTCCTCTGCCAGGGGAGTGGGGGAGGTTGGAAGAGAGTAGAAGGGTCAAATGGGGAATTTTGGGGGATACTTTGAACTGGATAGGTTGTCTTATGTCACAGACAGACATGGGGGAGTGTGGAGACCTAGATCCCAAATGGAGATGAAAAGGGGGGGATGAGTGGCCTACAGTTCCCAGGGGTTGAGACCCAGCACTGACAGGATCTCAGGACCTTGGGACCTTGTCCTAAGAGGCAGCCAGGTGTTTAGGGTGGAGGCTCTGAATCCACAGAAGGGCTTTCCTGGGTGGGGCTGAGGTGGACAGAGCTGTCAAACCAGCCAGACAAGAAAAGGAAGGCAGTATACAGAGGTGCCCAGCAGAGGACAGGGGGTAGTAACTGTCCTGGTAGGAGTGGGCCCTCGTTCAGCTGACTCCCCAGGAGAGGGGTTCACTGCTATACTCTGCTGGGTAACTGTCCGGAGTCCTCCACAAAGGCCTCTGGGAATACTGAAGGACTAGGGCAAGCCACCTGGCACCAGGGCCTACCCTAAAGCTACCCTGCTCTTCTCAGACCAGGGGTGGCCTTTTTCTCCCTCTTGCCAGAGGCTCCCCTTGTGCTGTGAACCTCCTCTTTGGGGACTCCTTTCTTTGTAAACCTCTACACACACTTCTACCATACCCAAACACACACAGAAGGAAACGGACAGGTGGCTACCGTAGGATTTATTTTATTCACATGGCTTGGCGTTCCTGCCAGTAAGAGGGGCACAGGCCTCACCACCCCTGCCTGGATGAGTTGACCACCTTGGGGCCCTCTGAGGGTTAGTGCTAGTATCTCACACACAAAACAGGGAAGGGAGAATGGGAAAACAAGAGTGGGGGATCCATCTGTCTAGGGCTTCAGACGGCGGCAGCCTGGGCCCCCTCTATCCTGGTGGGGCCTGGAGCCCCTGTCTCTGAAAACCCCACACTGGGCAGCTGGACCCTGAAGCCACCCTCTTCCTGATCCCCACTCCCAACCCGGGCCTTGGGGCTTAGTGACACTCTGGGGAAACGAAATTTGGGTGACTTCTCTCCAACAGGAGACTTGGAGGCTGCCTCACCCTCCTGTCCCCTGGAAGCCTTAGAAGGGGCAGCCAGGCCCACACGGGGCAAGCGGACCCTGACCCGGCTCCGGCGTCCGGAGGCCCCTTCCCCACTGCCCTCTTCCTCCTCCTCCTCGGGGCTGGGGGAGCCTTCTCCAGGCACCGACTCGTTCTGGCTGAAGCCCACTCGGGGCAGCCTGAGCTTGGGGCTCTTGGCCTTCTCGCCCTCCTCGCCCCCCTCCTTGGCCCGCACTAGGCCAAACCGAGGTAGCCGTACCTTGAGCTTGTGTCCGGCATCCCCCTCGCCCTCAGCCACCTGATACTCAGCGTGGCTGCCCACGGCGGGTGGCGAGAGCTCCACGTCAGGCAGGGAGAGGTGGAAGGTCCGCTCGGCCCCTGGGGACTGGTCCCCAGCACCCTCTCCCCCAGCTCTGGCCCCCAGTGTGGGCAACTTCAGCCTCAGCCCACCCTCACCCGGGGTCACCCCACTTGCCTGCGCCTCGTGGCTTAGCCCCACATCCAGCTCAAGCTGGGGCACAGTCACAGTAGGCATCTTGAAGACACCCTCGCCCACTAATAGCTCACCACCTGCCCCCTGGGTTCCAGGCAAAGCCAGGCTCACCTGAGGCACCTGGACTCTGTAGCCTGCTGTGTCCTCTGCTGAAGGAGTTGTACCCTCAGCCTGCAGCCCTGTGGCGCCTGCCTCCCCAAAGCTGGTCAGCTCCACCTGGGGCAGGGAGATGCCCAGAGTAGGCATCCTAAGCACCCCCCCATGGCCCTCAGTGACCTGCCTGGTCGTGGACACCTGCCGCACTGCACTGATGGCCACTGCCCCCTTGTCTCCCCCTTCCTCCTGGGCCCCCAGCGTGACCAACTCTACCTCAGGAATCTTAAGCTGCCCAGCTATGGACTCCAGCTTTTCCCCAGGGCTGACACGCCCACTTTGGACTTCTGCTTCCTTCCCTCGAGCCAGCCCAAAAGAGGGCATCTTCAGCTTGGGGATCTTCACCTTCCCATCCCAGCCCCAGCCCTTGCCCTCCAACTCAGCCACTCCCGACACTAGGTCTCCTGCCTCAGTGTCCCGGCCTTTGACCCCAAACTTGGGCAGAGCAAACCTGGGCCCCTTGAGCTTGACATCAGCCCCTGCTGCCTCCACCTTGCTGGAAGGCAGATGGGTGTCCAGGCTGAGCTGTGGGATGGACAGATCAAGGGCGGGCAGTAGACCTGCCTCCCCCGTCCCTTTGGTCTCAGCCTCTGCCCCCAACCGAGCCTTGGGGAGTGAAATGGCAAATTTTGACGCTTTCAGCTTGGTGGCTCGCCCAGCACCCTCAGCCTCTGACTTGGCTACCTTTGGCCCCGAGAGTCCAAACTTGGGCAGGGAGAACTTGGAGGACGACTTGACTTTCATCTCTGTCATTTCTAGCCGCCCTTCCTCAACTTCCATTGTGGGCAGCTGTGGAGTGATGATCTCAACGGAGGGCACCCGGAAGCCCACTTCTCCAACACCTGCTGCCACCCTGGGACCCTCTGGCCGCTCTACCTTGCCCACCTCAGTGGCTTGGCTCTGCCCCTCCAGGCCAAGGGCCCCTGGCAGGTCTAGCTCCACAGAAGGCAGAGTAAGGCCCACGCGAGCCTCGGCTCCCACCTCCGGCTGTAGACAGGGAAGTGTTACCAGCTTCCCTGAGACCTCGGCACCTGCCTCACCTGGCTTTTGTGTCGGAGACACCGCCCTACCTAACTTGGGCACGGTCACCTTGGGCATCTTGAAGCCAAATTCCATCCCCTCTGCCTGCTCCGCCCCAGCAGCTTTTAGCTGCACATCTGGGGCCTTGCACAGCTTCATCTCCGAGGCCGTGGGAAGACGCACCTCTGGGACCTTTGGCACTTGCATTTCTGGCAGCTGAATCTCTGACACTTTTGGTAGCTGTACCTCTGGGAGGTGCACATCGGGCACGGCAACCTCAGGCACTTTGGGCAGTTTTATCTCAGGGAGCTTCATTTCAGGGAGTTTCATGTCCGGGATTTTCATCTCTGACACCTTGGGGAGTTGCACTTCTGGGAGTTGAACCTCGGGCACAGCCATCTCGGGCATCTTCGGGAGTTTCATTTCTGGAACTTTGGGGAGCTGTACTTCTGGGAGGTGCACATCGGGCACAGCCATCTCAGGCACCTTTGGGAGCTTCATCTCTGAAACTTTGGGGAGCTGCACTTCAGGGAGTCTCACATCGGGCACAACCATCTCGGGCACCTTTGGGAGTTTCATTTCAGGGAGTTTCATCTCGGGGAGCTTCATTTCCGGAACTTTCGGGAGCTGTACTTCTGGTAGGTGCACATCAGGCACGACCATCTCCGGCACCTTCGGGAGCTTCATCTCTGGAACTTTTGGGAGCTGCACTTCTGGGAGGTGCACGTCGGGCAAAGTCATCTCTGGCACCTTTGGGAGCTTCATCTCAGGGACTTTGGGAAGTTGCACGTCTGGGAGTCGCACCTCTGGCACGGCCATCTCGGGCACCTTTGGGAGTTTCATCTCAGGCACTTTAGGGAGTTGCACCTCTGGGAGTTTCACATCTGGAAGGGCTGCCTCAGGCACTTTGGGGAGTTTGACATCGGGGACCTTAGGAAGCTTCACTTCTGGGCCTTTGGGCACCTTGACCTCAGGCCCTGCCACTCCGATGCCAAAGGAGGGCATCTTGATGGTAGGCAGCTTTAGTTTGCTCTCCAAAACAGCTTCTGGGGCAGAGGGCCGGGGCTCCAGGAGAGAAAGCCCAAAGGTGGGCATTCGAAGTCTGGGACCCTTCATCTTGGCCTCCGGGCTGCCTTTGGCCACTTTGGCCTCAGCAGCTTCCTTCCCTCGAGCCCCAAATCGGGGGAAACTAAGACGGGGCATCTTCAGGGCCACCTCAGGCACCTCTCCCCGAGCTTCCACCTCCGTGCCTGGCAAGGCCAGGTCCACCCCAACAGAAGGTGCGGCCACATCCAGGGTGGGGACTGTCACCACCACCGCCCCTTCCCGGGTCTCCAGGCAAGGAAGTGTGGGCAGAGTGGGTAGAGAGGGCAAGGTGGGCAGCTCCACTTGGGGAACCTGAATCCCTACAGCTGGGGGCTCCACAGCAGGTGCAGGCGGGGCTCCTAGCCCAAGGGTTGGCAGGTGGAGGGTGAAACCGCTGCCTGCTTCCACTGAAGGGGCTCTCTTGGGGGCTGAGACCTGAGGGACACCCACCTCAGCACCTGGCAGCCGAGGCCCAACCAACTCCACCTGAGGGGCTGTGAACCGAGCTCCTGCTGCCACCTCAGCCTCCACCTTGGCCTTCCTGGGGGGAGGAGCAGCGGCAGCCAGTCTGGCTGCCTGGGCCTCTTCAGCCACTTCTCGAACACGCAGCCGAGGCAGCTGGAGGCGCCGGCGGGTAGGGGCAGCTGGGACAGGACCCTTGGCAGCCTCGGCTTTGAGGCCCCGACGCAGACGGGAAAACTTGGGAAGGGAGAACTCGACGTCAACGGGGGCCAAGTCTGCAGGGGCCCCCAGGGCCCCAGGCACCACCACCATCTTCTTCTTCTTCACAGGGGACAGACTCTGGATATTCTGGGGAGAGAGGAGAGAGGCAGGAGGCGGTGGGACAGTGGGAGGCTGGGAGTGAACAGGAAGAAACCCACCTGCCATTGACCAGGCTGGGGATGTGTTGGGCATATGATCTTTTCCTAAAACACCATCCCCACTTCCTGTCACTTCATCACTGGAAGGCAAAGACTTTCACTTAAAATCTCACAGTTGGCATCAACAGGAGTGCAGGAACTGGGACCCAAGCTTGTAGGGCTTTATCCAGGAATTTCCCAACACTCTCATTGTAACGATGGGGAAAATGAGGCTCAGGGAGGGAAAGAAACTTGTCCAGGGTTACTCAGAAGTAACTGAGCAGCACGCAGGCTGGAACCTGGCCTTCCTGGTTCCCAGGACCCCTGTGAATCTGCATCTGATGGCAGGGCTGCCTCTCCAAGATGGGTGAGGGCCATGGTCTGGGGTAAGTGGGTCCCTCTGCCTGGGGGAGGAGTTTAGGGGCAGAGCACAAGGGGCAGAGGGTGGGATTAGCGTTGGATTAGTGACAAGACAGAGGGCAAGGCTGGCCCACGGTGACGGGAAGTGGGCTCACGGCGCACAGACGGGATCGCTGGGGCAGTCCAGGGCCGGGGCCGGGCTAAGCACGCGTACCAGCTTGGCCACCTTGGCCCGCGGGCCCTTGATCTCGTAGCCAGCCACGGTCCCGGGCCGCAGTGCTAGGTCCCCGGTGGCACGGTGCGCTTCAGGCAGAAGGAGACCTTGTAAGGCTCTGCGCATTGCAGCAGGCGTAGTGCGTCCTCGTACTTGAAGTTCTCAAAGAACACGCGGGCGCTCAGCAGCTGGTCCCCTGGTAGAGGTGGAGCGGGGCAGGGCGTCGGCATCTCCTGGCTCCGCCCAGGCTCGGCCCCGCCCACTTCCTGGGAGTCAACACAGCGAGACCCCGCCCCAAATTTTGGACCCACCTACCCCGTGCCGAAGGCTTTACGACCTGAAATTCTAACCAATCTGAGGCCCAGACACTGAGAAGGAAGCCACGCCCCATGACTTTAGCCCCGCCCCCTTCCGCTCGGAGCAAATCCTATAGCTCTCACATCCTCCAGCAATTCTCCCTCTTCCCACATGGCCAATCGCTGGTCTTCCACATTATCCCTATAAGCATATAAACATGCTACTACTGCTCCCATCAGAAAGGTGGCGCTGGTGGCTCCCACCTGTAATCCTAGCTACTCAGGAGGCAGAGATCAGGAGGATCACATTTCAAAGCCAGCCCAGGCACATAGTTCTCGAGATCCTATCTCTTAAAAAACCCATCACAAAAAAGGGCTGACAGAGTGGCTCAAGGTGAAGGGCCTGAGTTCACCCCCAGTGCCGCAAAAAAAAAAAAAAAGATGTCTTGACCTGCCTCCTCTCCGGAGCTCCTGCCCCATTTACCTGTTCACCCTGGCAGGAAAAACTGCATCAACATTATTTCCCCTTCTCAATCACACTTTCCACCGTGCCCCCACTCACCACCCCCACTCACATAAACTGCTCTTCTTAAGGTCTCAGGCAGGAGCTAAATTCAGTCCCAGACTTCATCCGCGTGGGCCACGCAGCATTTGACCCAATTTCACTCTCTCCTTCATTCACTGGGCTTGCCGGGTTCCACACCCTCTGGAAGCTGTCTAGAGGTTCCTTGTCAGCCTGCATGGATAGTCCCCACATCTCTTCCTGAATGCTTTCTTTCTTTTTTTTTTTTTTTTGGTGGCACTGGGGTTTGAACTCGGGACCACAAGCTTGCTAGACAGGCGCTGAACGTTTTTTAAAATGTATTTTATTAATTTACTTTGCACTATACTGGGGATTGAACCCAAAGTCTTGCATATGCCAGACAAGAACTCTACCGTTGAGCCACACCCCCAGCCCTTTTGTTAGTATTTGAGACAGGGTCGTGCTAACTTTGCTTGAGGTGGCCTTGAACTCTTGATCTCTCCAAAAGAGCTGAGATTACAGGCTGTGTTATCACACCCAGCTTCCTGATTTTTGTTGTTGGAGGTGCTGGGTTTGAACTCCAGGCAGATGGTCTACCACTTGAGCCACACCTGCAGTCCTGTTCCTGAACTCTTAAGGTTTTTTGTTGTTGTTGTTGTTGTCGTTTTTCTGTATGGGTTTGAACTCAGGGCCTCATGTTTGCTAGGTAGGCACTCTACCACTTGAGCCACTCCTCCAGCCCTCCTGAACTCTTAAAGCTACAGTGTTGCAGGGTTCGGGCCTTGGAACTTTTTTCTCCTATACATACTACACTCACCCTTGGGAATTCTTGGGAAGCTCACCTAGACTCAGGAGTTCCATGGGCTCCTCCCCCCAGACATCACAATCTGTGGATGCTCCAACCCTTTACATGAAATGGCACAGTATTTCCATATAACCTAAAGTACATATAACCATGTACTTTAAAGCATCTCTAGATGACTTACGATACCTCATACAATAGAAATGCTACGTAAATAGTTGTTATTCTGTGCTGTTTAGGGAATGATGACAGGAAAAAAGTTTGGACATGTTCAGGACAGACAGAAATGTCTTTCGAATATTTTCAATCTTTGGTTGAATCCTCAGATGCAGATATACGGAGAGTGGACTGTGGATTGAACTGGTCCGCCACATCCAAACTGGGGCTGGTGGTGAGACTAGCAAGCACAAGGCTCTGAGTTCAAAACCCAGTACCATCAGAAACGAGAGAGAGAGAGAGCTGCAAACTGCACACTTCTGTCCTCAGGTCAAAAAATCCCTGGAAGTTGACCCCTCTTGTTCCATCATCCCCCATATCTAGTCTCAAATATCCAGTCCTTTGAAGGCCTCTGCTTCAAAATATATCCAGAATTCAACTCCTTCTCTTCACCTCCCACAACTTATTAGCCCTGAGTATCTCCATCTCTTACCTGGATAATCAAAGTAGCGGCATTATTGATCGCCCTGCTCGCAACACTGCCCCCTAGTCTACCGTAATGCCGCAGTTCAACAAGATCAATTCCTGTTCTTCCTCACAGCCTCACGGAATAAAAGTCAAAGTCCTCACTATGCCCTACTAAGCTCTCTAAAATTTGGCCCTTCTCTACCTTTCTGACCTCAAGTCTGACTATTTTTTTGGGAGGAGAGGGTACTGGGGTTTGAATTCAGGGCCTTGTGCTTGTTAGGCAGGCGATCGACCTTCTTAGCCACGCCCCCAAACCCTTTTTGCTTTAGTTATTTTTCTAATAGGGTCTCGCGTTTATGCCCGGCTAGACTGGACCATGATCCTCCTGTTTATGCTTCCCGGGTATCTGGGATGACGGGTGCCCACCACGTCCAGCTTTTTGTTGGTTGAGATCGGGTCTTGGGAACCCTGGAACTTTCTGATATCCACCTCCCCAGTAGCTAGGATTACAGGCAGGAGCAAGTACGCCCAGCAAGTCTTACTCTTTATTTATTCTATTGCATACACACGAGGCCCGCTCCCACCATGGGGTGTTTGCAGGGTTATTCCCTCTACCTGGAATGCTCTTCCAGATGGCCAGGCTTCCCAGCCTACCCTATGTTTAAAAAGCAGCTTTCCTTCTGGCACCTGTAGCACATATCGCCATCTAACTTACTATTTTCTTTATTCATTTTTTGGTCCGAGGGACCAAACTCAGAGCCTTGCCCTTGCTAGGCAGGTGCTCTCCCACTGAACAAAATCTCCAATTCCTTATTTTCTTTAAATATGTCTCTCCCTACTAGATTGTGGCCTTTTTTTTTTAAGTGGGTCTGGGGCTTGAACTCAAGGCTTCGCACTAACAAAGCAGGTGATCTACCGCTTGGATCACCCCTCCAGTCTATTTTGCTCTGGTTATTTTGGAGATGGGAGTCTCAAGAACTATTTGCCCAAGCTGGTCTCAAACAGTGATCCTCTCGATCTCATCCTCCCAAGTAGCTAGGATTATAGGCGTGAGCCACCTGTGCCTGGCCAGTTGTCTATTTTGTTCACTGCTACAGCCCTAGCACCTAAATAATGTCTCAGATAGAAGGTGCATAATAAAAAATTGTTGCAGAAATAAATCAAATCAGCTTCATCCACGTTTCCTAAAACATCCTTTACTAAGTTCCCTTCTCTATGCCCTCCAAGTTAACTCCACCCCTTTTCTCCTGCCCCATGGCACAAACATTAACTAACACACAGTGCTAACTATGTACCACTTAGCTGTGTGCCAAGTGTTTTCAAATCCTGACTCACTTAGTCTACATAATAATCTCATGATGTCAGTATTAGTTATTCCCATTTTAAAGACGAGAAAACTGAGACACAGAAACATCACAAACTGGTAAACGAGGATTCAGGGAATCCCAATCCAGACAAGGAACTTCCAGAACCGGAGTTGAACAGTCACAATCTTAAAAGCGAGGCCCCGCCTCAGGTCCTTAACCCCGCTTCCTAGTCACCGGCCACGCCCACAACACCCCAAATCAGTTTCAGCCCTGCAGGCACCCAGGCCGGATTCCTAGCTCCACCCCCGCAGGTCGGCCCCGCCCACGGCCCGGCCCCGCCCACCTTCCTGCAGGCTGAGGCTCCGCGCTGCAGGTGAGTCCTCGCGCAGCTCGCGTACAAAGATTCCCTCTTTGCCGCCGCCCGCCACGTTGATGCCGCTGACGCCGGTCTGCGCCTCCGTCTCCACGATGATCTCCACCAACTCCGCTCGCCTCAGCTCCTGCGGGGGGGTGGCAAAGGATCCTGATGGAGCGCTAGGGCTGAACCTCGCCCTCGCACTTTAAAAGAGGCTGGTCCACGGGTCCTCGGGACACATGGCTCTCGGCGCCACCCAGGCAGGGCATCCGGGCCCACGCACCCTGCATTTCCCCTTTAAGCACGCGAGCGGTCCGCTCGCTCCCTAGCACCCGCGTTACGGTTAAACGGCTGCGCTCACGCGCGCAAGGCGATCGCCAGGAGCCGGGAGAGGCGGAGGGTAGAGGAAGCCGGGGGCGTGGCCACATCCTGGGGCGAAGCCAATGGGGAGGGTGGGTTTAGGAGCACCGGCCAGAGAAGAGGGGCCAAACAAGGTGCAGAAAAGCACCAAGGCGATGAGAGGGGTGTGGCCAGAGTTTATGAGGGATTTATTTTGGTCCGATTTGAATCATGGGGCTTTTAATCGCTGCAGAACAAGGGGCAAGGTTCCGTGTGGGATTCCTAGGAAAGGGCTGGACCTTTAAGCTATGCGGGATGGGAGAATGGGGAGTGGGACTTGGCCCCCTGCGGGCGTGAATGTGCGTTGACACTGTGCTCTATTGTGGACTCCATAACCCCAAAGCCTGCATAGCGCCCACGGGAGAGGGAATCCAGTGAAGGGGGGGCGGTGCGTGGGTAATGAATAGTGATCAGCACACGTGACATTCTTGGTATTTACTGTAAATGGTGCAATCTGGCCCTGGTGAGTCTCGCAACTCACTGGTGGATTTGCATGAAGGCTTCCCAGAAGAGGAAGTGAAAGACCCGTGTTCTGTCTAGGAATCCAGTCTGCTGTGTGTCTCTGGGGGACTACCTTGCCCTCTCTGGGCTCGTCCCTCTGCTATACAGTTGGGTAACATGAGTGCACTAGAAGGACTCTCTGAGCTGTGACCTGAAGAAATATGGACCCCAGGGGACAGGGCAGAACTTTGAAGCAGCAAGGACTGGAAAGGAGAAAGCAGGTCTGGGCCAGATGCCTCACTGCAGTGGCAGAGCAATGTGGGGAGTAAAAAGAGTTGTGTCAGGGGCCACTGGGAAAATCAAGAGCATGCCCACTGTCCTTTGGCTTCCCAGACCCTGGGCTAAGCATTCTGTGTGCATAACTTTGTGTGTGTTTGCCGTACGGGGGCTTAAACTCAGGGTCTCACACTTGCTAGGCGGGTACTCTGCCACTTGAGCTATTCCACCAGTCCTGTTTTGTGTTGGGTATTTTTTGGGGGGACGGGATCATGGGGCTTGAACTCAGGGCCTACACTTTGAGCCACTCCACTGGCCAGTTTTTGTGAAGGGTTTTTTAGAGATAGGGTTTCATGAACTATTTGCCCAGGCTGGCTCTGAACCTCCATCCTCCTGAGTAGCTAGGATTGCAGGTGTGAGCCACCAGCACCTGGCTGTGTTGGGTATTTTCAAGATAGGGTTTCACAAACTATTTGCCTGAGCTGGCTTCAAACCTCGATTCTCCTGATCTCTGCCTCCTGACTAGCTAGGATTACAGACGGGAGCGACCATCTGTTTAAGACCGGGTCTCCCTTTGCCTGGGCTGGCCTCAAATTCGAAATCCTACTCTCCTCCCTCCTCTGCCACTGGTTGGGATGACAGTTGTGTGCCACTATGCCCAGCTCTCAGCGGGCACCAGCACCCAGCTCTTTTAGCTCATTATTAATTTAACTCCTTTAGGATCTAATGAATTAGCTGCTTTGCATCTTGGCCTGGGCCACACACTGCACTAAGAACTTCACATATGTTAATTACTATTTCTGTTTTACAGATGGAGAGAGTGAGGCACAGAGAAACCAGGAAGGGTGTCCTTGTCATTTTCTGTGATCCTCCATACCCATAAGGCCCCTTGCAGAGCTGTGGGCACTCACCTCTGCACTCCGGCTCCTGACCTCCATGGCACTGCTGGGAGTCACTCGGGCCCCAGACGCTTGCTTCTTCTCTTCCTTCTGCTGCAAGACCAGCTTCAGTTCTGCATGGAGCAGCTGCCGCTGAGCCTGAGGGGCAGGAATGGAAGCTGGAGGTCAGGAGGGGATAAGGATGGATGTCAGGCTTATTGGGGAGGTCAGGGTGGCCCTTAGAAGGGGGAATGGGCTGGGTGTGGTGGTTCATGTCTGTAATCCCAACTACTTGGGAGCCAGAGATAAGAGAATCATGGTTCTAGACCAGCCTAGGCAAAAAGATTAGAAGACTGTATGTCAAAAGAACAAGCTAGGCATAAGGGGCATGCTTGTAGTCCCAGCTACTTAGCAGACAGAAATAGGAGATCAAGGTCCAAGGCCAGGTGGGCAAACATGAGAGACCCTATCTGAAAGACAAACTAAAATCAAAAGGGCTGGGGGTGTGGCTCAAGTGCAAAGCTTGCCTAGCAAGCTCGAAGCCTTGAGTTCAAACCTCAGTACCAGCAAAATTAAAAACAATTATAGCCAGGCACCGGTGCCTCACACCTGTAATCCCAGCTACTCAGGAAACAGAGATCAGGAGGATCTTGGTTTGAAACCAGTTCTCGAGACCCTGTCTTGAAAAACCCCTTCACAAAAAAAGGACTGGTGGAGTGGCTCAAGGTGTAGGCTCTGAGTTCAAACTCCATACCACAAAAAATAATTATTATTATTATAAAAAACTAGAAAAAGGGAAAAGTCCCACCCCAGCTGTCCCCTCACCGCTGCCTGGGTGCAGGTACTCTCTCCTAACAGGAGCCCAGCCCGAGGTGTGGCACAGCTGTCTGTGGGGCTTGTGCCCTTCCCCTGGAGACTTGCTGCCTGTTAGGGAGAGATGGGGGCGTGAGGCTCCAGACAAACCAGGGAGGGCCAGGGAGGGGCATGTGGCACCAACAGCGCTCACCTGAGGGTTACTTCCAGCACCTTGAGCCTCCTGGGTCCGGGACTCTAAGAAGAATAATGTGTTCAATATTATTGACTAAGGCTTACCGGTGACTTTCTTTGTGTCTGACCCTCCCCTCACAGCCTCAGCCAGTGCCCTGTCCCCAGACTACAGGCAAAGAAACTGAGGGTCAGAAGACTTTTGCTCCAGATGACACAACTGGGGAACAAACCGTAAAGTCCAAACTAACTCCTAGACCTATCCAACAGCAGAGCTACCACCTTGGTCCACCGAGTGGGGTCTGCTAGTGAGCAAAGTGCCTCTCCTTCCTGTCTAGAAGTTGGGGAGAAAAGGAGCACCCACCTTGCAGGGCTGTTCTGAAGACCAAATGAGTTAAAAGGTAGAAAGTGCCAGGCATGTGGCAGGTGTGTTATGAGTACTTGCTTATAATGTCCTGTAGCCTTGACCTTGTACTGAGTGTCTCAGAGGTCATGGAACATAGGCCTCAAAACAGCCTCATTAGGTCAGTACTATTTTTGAGCTCTTTACAGAGGAGACACCTAAGGCTGGGGGGAAGGAAGTCCCTTGCTCGGGTCACATAGAAGGGCCAGCACTATATAGCTAATAATTTTTTGACAGCAGTGGGGTTTGAACTCAGGGCCTCACACATGCTAGGCAGGCTCTCTACCACGTGAGCTACTCTGCCAGCCTTAGAACTAATGGTTGTTGAATGGTTCTTCTTCTTCTTCTTACCATTATTTTCATACTAAGACCCTCTGACAACCTTGTTCCCTTGGAGAACTTGGCCCAGGCATCCAGCAGGGAGAAGAAACAGAACTGGGGTTTGCAGGCTCTTCTCAGGCAATGGAGGCAAACATTGTCCCCCCACCCCCTGGCTCCAGGCTTGGCCCCCACCTGGCATGCCAACCCGCCAACCCTTACTGCACAGGGAAAGGTCAGGCCTCACGCGGCACATTCCCTCACACAATGGCCCATCTGCTGGGCCAGTCACATTCCGCCCACCCACTCGAAACTACACAATGGCCCTTCATAGCCCACCACTGGCCAGGACAGAGAACCCAGAGACCCCTCCTCTATATCCTGCTGCAACCACCCCACTGGTGGGGCCCCCAAGCGACAGGTGTCAGAGGGCTCCTCTCTGCATCTCCCAGGGGTCTTGACGCCTGTGTCCATGCCCAGCCCCACTCTGAGTCTCTAGGCCCTGCAACCAGCACACAGCAAGGAGCCCTCCCAGGCCAGCTCCTGTGTCAGGAGTGTCTGCTCTGGACACTGGGTTGACATCTACAAGCCTTGAAATCACCCCGGATGTGCTAGCTGTCACAGGGGTAAAAACTGAAGTCCAGAGAGGGGATGTGAGCTGTCTAGGGTCACACAGCCAGGAAAAGCTAGGGCCCTTGTCCTGGACCCCAACCCTGAGCCCAACTTGCACTGGTGATTCTGAGCTGGGCTGGGCAGGAAGGTTCGAGAGTACCATGAATACATTCTCAGAGGGACCCCACTAATGCCAGGCCTGGCCCACCCCATAGTACCCCATTTCACTGATGAGCCAAGAGAATGAAGAGACAGGATGTCACACTTGAACCCAGGTGTAAAAAAGCTACCAAGAACCGTGACACAGACAACAGCCTGGGGGTGGGGAGGACTGGGTCTTGTTGCCAGTGGTATATATCAAAGCGTGTCCTCCATGCCACAGGCTCCCTGTTCCAGGCCCAGTGAGGGTCACACCCAGAGCCTGGCAGAGGAAGCCTGGCAGGGCAGGAGCAAGACAGTAACCCTCCTTCTCATCTCTGCCAAGGCCAGCTGCCCAGCCCATGTTATATTTAGCCCAACTGTGCCCTTCCTCAGCAACATGTCAGCTTCCAAAGGAAACCCACCCACTCCCAGCACTCTTTGTTCCCAGCCCTACCCAGCTCACTGGGCAGGGGAATGGGGGAGCCCCCGAGTCCCAACTTTTGTCAGAGGACAATTCTACTGGATCCCCCTAGAGAATTAAGGGCAGGCCTAGTTCTTGAGTGGTTATCAGGCCTTGTCCTGGCATCTGCACGAACTTCTGGAATTCTCACAGTTCTGTTTTCTTGAGCACCTACTATGTGCTAAGCCCTTCAGTGTGGCTGGGAAGGGGAGAGCTTGTCACCTGGGTCCTGCCCTTCTGCTGAGCCCCGGCCCCCGAGAAACCTGCTCAAGACTTTCTCTCTCTGGTCCTCTTTCTCCAGGGGCTTCCGTTAACCTCGTCTGAGAGTTCTGCCCATTCAGAGCCTCAGCTTCCCTAGCCCTCTGGGGTCTGATCCCTGAGCTTGGGAGTGTGTGGTGGGGGAGAAGGGGGAGGGGGTTCTGATTCCTCCAGGCCCCTGGACATTTTATCTAAGGCCATTGAATGACGCAGAGGGGAGGTGCTAGGGCAGCCTCACTTAGTCGCTGCACCAGCACCTCCCAGGCATGAGTAGGTAAGCAAGGTCCTTCCCCTCTGGGGCCTCAATATCTTCACCTGTAAAATGGAGCCAATAAAATAGCTTTGAAGATTTACAAGACAACAGCAGTTACAATATTCCCAGTGTACAGTAAGTGCTCAACTAACATAAACTACTCTCTAGCCGGGTACCAGTAACTCACACCTGTAATCCTAGCTACTCAGGAGGCAGAGATCGGGAGGATTGAGGTTCTAAGCCAGCCCAGGGAAATAGTTTGCGAGAGACCCTATCTCAAGAAAAGTCATCACAAAAAAGGACTGGTGGAGTGACTCAAGGTGCACACCCTGAGTTTAAGCCCTAGTGCACACACACACACACACACACACACACACAAAAACTAACCTCTGACAACAGAAAAGGTAGGCAGGAGTGGCCTGTGCATCTCACAGGGTCTCATATCCAGCCTTTGCTCCCCAGCGGCCACCATTTTTACCCTTAGCCAAAGAAGGATTTGGGAAATCCAGCTCAGGCAGCAGCCTCCCAGCAACAGGATCAGCACCCTCTTCCACAGAGTAGAAAGCTGGCCCCAGAACTTCAGAAGCAGAAACTCTGTGCCACATCAGCCCTGTGAGGGGGCCTCCACCAGCCCATTTTAGAGATAGGAAAATGGAGGCATAAAGGCTGCCCGAGGTAGTATAGGGGGAAAGGGGAAATTGGGATTTGAACCCAGGGTCTGGTTTCCAAGCCTGTGCCATTAATTCTTACAATACCCTGCCTTCCCAGCCCTAGGCACCTCCCAGACCTCCCAGGACTCTGGAGCTCATTCCCAAGGTTTGTCAGCCTGACCAGGAGAGGACTGGCCAGCTGATCTCTTACCGTTGAACCTCCAGACACCTCGAGAGCTCCCGGTCTGTCTGCTCAATCCCAGTCTTAGGCTGGGGGGAAAAGGGATGGGAGGGGTAGGATGGGGAGACCCTGGCTATTGGCTGCTGAGGTGTGATGTCACCAGAGGGTGGGTGGTGGGGAAACAAACAAACATCCCCTTCTTCCAGTACTCCCAAGGGGGTGGGGACCATGGAACTCTATTGCCTAAGCTGAGAGCTTCACCCTGAGACTGGCTTCAGGGATTTGCACACACAGACACTCGGAAACTCAGAACGCCCATCTCCACCATCTCCTGGCTCTTTGGCCCAGGTCTGGCCCCCCATGCTTCCTGGGACCCCAAAGACAAACTCCTTCCCCTCCTTCTCCCCGACAATTCAGGTTCAGAACTGGCTCAGCCGCTCCTGGAAGTGTGACCTTTGGCAAATCGTAGGGTGCCTCTGGGCCTCAGTTTCCTCATCTCCTCAGTTATGAAGCCCAAATGAGTTTTCAAAAGGCTAAAAATGTGCATGCCTGTAATCCCAGCTATTCAGGGGGTGGAGGCTGGAAGATCGTGTCAAAGCCAGCCCGGGCAAATAGTTTGTGAGACCCTGTCTTGAAAAAAAACCCATCACAAAAAAAGAGGGCTGGTGGAGTGGCTCAAGGTGAAGGCCCTGAGTTCAAACCCCAGTGTGCAAAAAAAGAAACAAAACAAGAGGGCCAGGGGCGTGGCTCAAGTGGTAGAGGGCTGGCCTGGCCTGTGGGAGGCCATGGGTTCAATCCCCATACCACACACATACACTCTCAGTAATAATAAAAAGACTAAAAGCAAAACTGTCCCTCCCAAAGCGAGGTATTTTTTATTATTCACACAAACTGGAGGGAGGCTGGTTAGTTTCAAGGGGCTTCTGAACCCTTTTTCCTAAGACAGGGCATAGCAGAGCCCCACTCTCTGCTCAGTGAAGCTTGTCTTTAGGGGACACCTGTCAAATGCTAAGTACAACGCAGACAAAGTCTGCCTCCCACTTAAGGTGGCCTAAGTATATGCAATTTGTACTGACACAACCAGGAAGTGGTAGAGTTGGACCCTGAGCCTGGTCTTGCTGGACCCCAAAAATCCAGGTACACTCTTCTGTCCCTAAATTTCTTATATAAGGAGACTCAGAGAGGGTGAATGATTCTCCCAAGGTCACACAGCAGATTGAAACCCAGAACTGCCAAAGTCCCAAACCAAGGTTTCCAGGCCTTACCCCCACTCCACTGGCCCCTGGACCAGCCCCAATCTGCCTTGACTCACCAGACCCCGGGGGGCGGCACAGGGAGCACAGGTACCCCCACATCCCCTATGCACCCACCAGGCTGCTGCCTCGGAAGCTGGTGGCTCTCTGAGCCGGGGCCTGGTGCTGGGGCCAGGGTGAGGCTGGGGGATTACCCCCAAAGTGCATGTCAGCAGCTTCTGCCCCATTGTCCAGCCAGGCACCGACACCAGGCCCTTGGGCAGCGCCCTGGTCTCTACACGAGCTTGGGTGGCCCCTCCATGGACCCATTCCCCACCCTACACGGAGGGTTTGGGGCTTACTCGGAGGGTATGGGGTGAGGAACAGGATGGCAAGAGCCCAGAATGCTGGGGGCCTCCCCCACTCCTCCGAAGTGCCCCCTCCTGCCCACTCTCAGCCACCGGGGAAAGCAGGAATGTGCTGAGCTCTGGGAAACGCCTTCCAGGCCTGGCAGACAGAGAACTGGGGTGTGGCCGGAACCCAGCCAGCAACCTTCTCCTAGAAGGGTGAAAGGAACAGAGATGGTGTGGTCAGGGCTGCCGGCGGCCTGAGACCCTCATCTCTTCTCTCTCTCTCTCTCATTCATTGAGTCACTTGTTCGTTTACTCAGTCAGCAAACATTCAAAAGCCCTTATGAATGGCAGGTCCTTTGGAGAGCACTGGGGGCCCCAGCACACCAACATCACCTTGGGGACAGACTTGAGAAAAGGTTCCTGTAGGGCTGACATTGGAAATAGTTCAGGAGCACTGAGGAGGAAGGGCCAAGGAAAAGGCAGAAGAACCTGGAGGGAACAAACCCAGATCCTGAGGTCTGGAGATCACAGGGTGAGAAGCCAGGGAAGGCTTCCTGGAGGTAGTGGCATTTGCATGAACTGAAGGATCTATATGCATAGATACAGAGCTGTGGGTGGTGAATGAATGAGAGTGACTCAGGTAGGGGGCACCAGCCTGTGCAATGACCCTCTGAGAGTGTGCTGGAAACAGAGTCAGACCAGAAACTGGTGGCTCACGCCTATAATCCTAGCTACTCCGGATGAAGAGATCAGAGGTATCACAGTTTGAAGCCAGCCTGGTCAAATAGTTTGTGAGACTCTTGTCTTGAAAATACCCCATACAAAAAAGGATTGGTGGAGTGGCTCAAGTGGTAGAGCACCTGCCTAGCAAGCATAAGGCCCTGAGTTCAAACCCCCAGTCCCATCAAAAAAGAAGAAGGAAACAGGTGGTCCAGGGGCAGGTGGGCAATGAGGAAGGACTGAGACTTTGTACCTAGGATTCTGGATCCTATGGGAGGGATGCAATAAACTGAGCTTTTTACTGTTTGTTTGAGTCAGGGTCTCACTATGTAGTGAGGCTGGCCTGGAAGTCAGGATCCTCCAGCCTCAACCTCTCCAGTGCTGGGATTATAGGTGTATACCACTACACCCAGCAGAGCTAAAGTTTTAAGTGCTTGAGGTGGAAAGGTCTGAACTACTGGCCAGGTTAGAGACAGATGACAGTCTGCTCCTCTCTGCTTAAGGTCAAATAGAAAAGGAAGGCGGGTACACACTGTCACTCCGTGTCACAGAGAGTGGAGGTCCTTTCTTGTTCGCGATCTTAAGGAAAGGCATTTAGTATTTTGTCATTAAAACAGAATGTTAGAGCCAAGCTCTGTGGCACTTCCTGTGGTCCCTCAGCACTCTGGAGGCTGGGACGGGTGGATCACTTGAGCTAAGGAGTTAGAGGCCACCATGGGCGACATAGTGAGACTCACTGGGGAGGCTGAGACAGGAGGAGAGAGAGTTGGAGGCCAGCTTGAGCTACATAGTGAGACCCTGTTTCAAAAACAAACCAAAACAGGGATGGGAGGGAGAGGGTGGAGGAGGGGGGCAGGGGGGAGAAATGATCCAAACAATGTACACACATGTGAATATATGAATAATAAAAAACAAACCCAAACAACTGATGCCAGCTGTCCATTTTTTGTAGGTGGCCTTAATTAAGCTGAGGACTTTTTTTTTTTTTTTTTTTGGTGGTATTGAGGTTTGAACTCAGAACCTCACGCTTGCTTGGCTGGTACTGTACCACTTAAGCCACTCACCAAGCCCTTTTATGTATTGGGTATTTTTGAGATAGGGTCTCAAACTATTTTCCCTGGCTGGTCTTGAACCATGATCCTCCTTATCTCTGTTTTCCAAGTAGTTAGGATTACAGGCATGAGCCACCAGCTGCTGTGAGGTTTTGGTCACAGCAGTGTCTCTGCCTGTGCTTGTATTTCAGTCCCCCTCTTTCTCTCTGCCTTTTATTCCTTGGGGCTGTATCTCCTCTCCAGGTTTTTTGGGTTTTTGTTTTGTGGTGGTCCTGCTGAGGATGCACTCAGTGTATTGTGTGTGCCAGGCAATATCCCAGTCCTTGGTTCGGGGGTACTTTTGTACTGGGTTTTTTGTTTGTTTGTTTTGTTTTGTTTTTCCAATACTGGGGTTTGAATTCAGGGCCACTCCTTGAGCCACTCCACCAGCCCACTTTTGTGAAGGGTTTTCTTTGAGGTAGGGTCTCACAAACTATTTGCCAGGGCCGGCTTGGAACCACGATCCTCCTGATCTCTGCTTCCTGAGTAGCTAGGATTACAGGTATGGGCCACCAGTGCCCAGCTTGTACGGGGTTTTGAACTCAGGGTTCCCAATTGCTAGGCATATGCTTTATTTACCACTTGAGCCACGCCCCCAGCCCTTTTTTTTTTTTTTTTTTTTTTTTTTTTTGAGATAGGGTCTCCTTATGTTAGCACAGGATGGCTTTGAACTCTGATCCTCCCGCTTGGGCCTCCCAGCTGCCAGGATTGTAGGCGTGCCCGTCACACCCAGCTCTCTGCTGTGTCTTTCTGTTTTTCTCTTTGTCCCTATCTTGCTTTCGCCTCACAAAGGGGTGTGGCCATAGGAAGTTAAGTTTAGGGGGTGGCACCAGTGTCCAGGTCACTTCTGTAAACACAGGACATCCTGCGGGGCTGGGGGAAGAGAACGGAAGCATCTCCCTGGGTGGGAACCACCCTCTCCTGACCCAGCCTGAGCCAAGCAGGAATCTCCTCCTGCCCTGCCCTGCCCTGCCCCTGCCTGGCCAGGGAAACTGACTTCTCGCTCACCCCAACCCTTCATGCTCCTTCCTGCCCCATGTCCTCTCTACTGAGTCCAGCCCAGCAGCTTTGAAGTGTTCCCCTAGATGTCCCCCAGCCCCTTGCACCCACTGCGTCGTCCCTTGTTGACCTCAGCATCAGTCCCCATCCCTGGTTAGAGTCCTGAGCCTCCTCCACCACGCTTAGTCCCAGCGGGCTGTCCACTGGGCTTCAGTTGTATCTCTTCCCTACCTTTCCTTCCAAGTGCCTGCTCTGTCCCTGCCCAGGTCCCCACTCCTAACCTCCAATCTCGCCCCCTGGTCACTGTGCCCACCTGGCAGCCAGAGGGAAACACTTACTTCTTTTTCGTTAGTGTCTTCATAGTAAAATCCTACACTCATGGCCTTGTGTGCCCTGGCCCCTGCTGACCACTCCCCCCCCAGCCCTGTCACTTACCGAATGGCTTTCCCCCTCATTCCAGCCAAACCCAGCTGCTTACAGAGCCCAGAAGATGGAGAGTACATGACCTCTTAGTCTTTTCAGGTGCTGTCCCTCCTCCCCCAACAACAGCCCTTTGAGGTACATCCTGTTACTATTCCAGTTTACAGATTGGGACTGGGAGGCCCAGAGAAGTTAAGTACCTTGTCTAGAGTCACACAGCTCCAGGTAGCAAAGCTGGGGCAACCTCTTTCGAGCACAACAGCTTATTGCTCCAATAGCATCTGTGACATCGTTATATTTCTGCAGTTTCTGCAACACACTCGCCGTTGTGTCTGCTTGGCCAGTGACGCTCCCTCTGCCCAGGGCCTCTCAGTACAGTTGTACTGGTTGTGCACTCACATAGGCTCCCCATTTAAGAGGCATGTCTCAGGTACCCCACACTTACAGGTTTATTGACAGTTTCCCAGCAGGTGGAGGTCAAATGTTTTTACACAAAAAGTACCATAAGGGTTACATCAGCACTGGTTCCATCCCTTTGACCCTCTTTAGTTTAGGAGGGGATCCTGCCTGAGGACCTGCCTCTCTTCCCCCATGTCTAACCCCCCAGATGCTTGTGCAGACTCTGACTGACTGGTTCAACCCCAGGAGGCCAGGCCACCTCCGCCAGCAGATTCCAGGGCCCACACCATTCCTATCCCAGAGTTGCCAGCCCTGGCACCAATACTGCTTTTCACAGAGCCTTTGTGTATTTCAGCCACGACAAAACCCAGGCCAGCTGCCCTCGGGAGCATTCATTCACAGGACCCCCTCCCTCCAGCACACACTTCTCCTCCTTGACACTAGGGAGAGAACTGTGATGTGCTGCGCTTCACCATCTTTTCTTGCCTTCCTCCCTCCTTTTTTTCTTTTCCTTATTAAGCAAAACTGTATGAGAACTGCCTGTGTGCTTGGCCTTGGGTAAAGGTACATCTTATTATTACCATGGGGGAGGCCAGTGCTGGGATTTGAACTCAGGCCTCACACTTGCCTAGCACTCTACTGCTTGAGCCATACCCCAGCCCTTTTTGCTGTAGTTTTTGTTGTTCTTGTTTTTGTGGGACTGGGATTTGGACTCAGGGCTTCATACTTGCAAAGCAGGTGTTCTACCGCTTGAGCCATTTCTCCAGTCCGTTTTGCTCTGGTTATTTTGGAGATGGGGTCCCACAAACTATTTACCAGGTCCTGCCTCAAACCATGATCTTCATCTCAGCCTCTCAAGTAGCTAGGATTACAGGTGTGAGCCACTGGCGCCTGGCTGCTTTTTCAGATAAGGTCTTCGGCTTCTTTCCCTGGCCAGACTCCAACCCGGTTCTCCTGTCTCCGCCTTCTGAGTAGCTGAGATTACAGACGTGCTTCACCACACCCAGCCTAAAAGGTACACGTGATCACGTGTCACTCACAGGCTGGCAGGCCGTCCGCATTTGTAGGTTGTCAGGTTACCCTCCAAAGTGGCCTCTTGAGACATCACAAGCAGCCCTCCAGCACGCTGTAAACCGAGAGTATGGCTGACCCCACCCCGCAGATCTCCTGTGGGACCCCAGGCTGGATGGATCCTCAGCGAACACTAGGAGATGGCATTGCAGAGCCCAAGACTGGGCGCCAGAGGGCGCTGCAAAGCTCAGCCAGCCTGGACTCCAAGGTCTCGGTCAGGGGCAGTCTGCGGCCGGTGGTGCACGGCTTGCAGTCACCAGGGCTTGCAGTCGGACCCCTGGAAAACCCTCAGCCTGGACACCAGTTCCCTGCAGCTACTTCCACCCGCCTCCCGGACCCGATTCAGCCACTTCCAGAAATGGGCACAGCTTCCTCCGCTCCTCCAGGAAGCCGCGCTCCGCCCGCCCCTTCCCGGCCCCGGGGGCCGCGTGCGGCTCCCGCCTCCCCGGCTCCACCCGGGCCGCCGCTCCCCGAAGCTTCCGGCCCGAGGGGGAGGTCCTGGGGTCACCCTACGTCTTTTGCTGTCCCCTGGCTGGCCGGCTGGCCTCCGATTCAGGTCCCCTGTTGGCCCCTCGGATCCTCCATCCAGCCCCTGCTCCTCCCCGCCCCCCCACTCCGATGCGGTGACGGTGACATCCCCGCCCCGCCCCGCCCGCCAGGCACCCCGGGCTCTGCCCTGCCCCCACGGCCGCCAGGAAGGACGCAGCCCGGTCCCGTGCCAGGCCTGTGAGTGTGCGGCCCCTCCCAGCCCCGCCAGGAATGCAGCTGCACCGCGGGGGCGGCCGCAGACACCCGGCTCCGGCCAGGCCCGGCCCAGCGCACGGGCAGTCGGGCAGGTGGCCCCGGCTTGCCTGGGCCTGGGTGTCTTCTAGAGAGCAAGCCAGGCTGCCTGTCCCCGAGGGGCCCTGCCTTCCCTCCAGCCACCAAACCTGGTGGCTTTGTTCTGAAGATGGCCTCTGCAGATGCCCGACTTCTTAGCCCAAAGACAGTTGAGGCTGGGGATTAGACTTTATTCTTTAAAAACTTGGTGTCTCCCTTTCTTTCACCATTTTCCTGGACTATGTTCCCTGGAGAAGCTCTGCCCGATTTACCGCTTTTTTTTTTTTTTTTTCGTTACTAGGCCTTGAACTCAGGGCTTACACCTTGAGCCACTCTACCAGCTTTTTTGAGATGGGTTTTGTCGAGATAGGGTCTTGTGAACTATTTGCCTGAGGCTGCCTTCAAACCGCGATCCTCCTGATCTCTGCCTCCGGAGTAGCTAGAATTACAGGAGTGAGCCATGGGTGCCTAGCTGGCTTACTGCTTTGTGTTTTCATTTTGGGGCCATTCTTTTGTTTTTTTTTTTTTTTGAAAAGAGGATCTTGCTATGTAGCCCAGGCTGGCTTTGAACTCTCCATCTTCCTCTTTCAGCCTCTCCTGTGCTGGGATTACAGGCTTGAGCCATGGTGCCCAACTCTGGGCCATTCTGAGACTGCCTCTCTCCCCCTCAGGACACAAGGGAAGGATTAAATTTTTTCTTAAAAGTGGCCTGGGGCACACACCACCAGCACAAGGAAACCTGGATGAGTAGGGTCTGGAGTGTTTGTCCCCTGCCGTCGCCAGCCTACTTCTGCTTCTAAGGTCAATAAGGCAGTCAAATTCATGATTTGAAACCCATCTTTTCCAGGGACCTCTCAGAGCCTCAGTTTTCTCAGCTGTCAAATGGGAATCATCATAATGATACCCATCTCATGGGGTTGTCAGAGAATTAAATGAGCTAACATGTCAAGTGCTTCAGAAGTGTGCCTGACACACAGTCCTCCCTCAGTAAATGTTAGATGTTATCTCACGCTTGCATAAGCCCAGAGACAAAGAAGCACGCCAATTTAAGATTTCTCAGGGTTGGTTTTAATTTCAAAAAAAAGAAAAAAAAAAAAAAAAAGGTTGAGGTCTCTTCCCACATCAGGGAAAGAAAAGCCCAGACTATCACCCCAAGGGATTCAGTACAGCTTGGGGCCTGAACCAAACACTTTCCAGCCATCAGGCCCTGTCATTCCATCCTTGGGGCCAAACTGGGACTCCTGTGCTAGCCCCATGACAAGAGGACCAATGTGAAGTTACCCAGAACTGGATTCTTTCCCTCCAAAGTGGCCCAGGCCCCATTCTCTGTGCAAGGGAAGCCAGCTGTGTCTTTCCAAGGAGGGCTGGTTCAGCCACCAGGCTCAGCTCAGACACCAGACAACCATCCCAGCCCTAGGGGTCAGCGCCCCGGCCCTGGTGGCCGTTCCAGTGTCTGTGTGCCCACCAGCACATCCATGAGGTAGTCCAGCTCGGCTTCATCCAATACTGGGGCTTCCTCCTTGCCCAGCCCATCCTCAGGGCCAGATTTGAGGCCCTCAGATGCTGGTGCCCAAAGTTCAGTGTCATACATGGAGGTGTCAATGTCCTCAAACAGGCCCTCAAACCCATCGTCCAGCAGACAGCCAGTGGCTGGGCCTAGCAGGTCCAAGGCACCCAGGCTGGATGGGCCTCCCCCAGTAGAGCGACCTGGTGGCCCCTCATCTGCCAGGGGTTGGGGGGCCTGGTTCAGGCCCTCGATATGACTGAGGTCCTCCAAGAGGCTGGCCACAGAAGCTGAGAGGGCGGCATCTGAGCTGGCTAGCAGGCTGTCATCCACATCCACGCAGGGGGCTGGAGGCGGGCTGGGCACAGATGGCAGGGCAGCTGTTGGGGCCATGGACGCCTGAATGCGGCGCAGGGTGTTCACCACCAGCACCAGGTGCCGCAGGTCAGGCTCACTCTGCCGCAGGCTATGGTGAAGCTTGAGTACTGAGAGGTCAAAGAGGGAGCTGGAGGCTGCAGCTGGAGGTGCCTGCACCACGGATGGGTGGCCTGGATCCAGCCACCAGGTGTCCACTGACAGAGCTTCCTTCTCCTCCTCCTCCCGTTTGCGCTTCAGACCCTTGCTCAGCATTGTCTGCAGGAAGGCAGGAGCCAGTCAGTGACGGAAAGCAAATATTTAATTCACACCCTGGCTCTGTGTGATTTTGGGCAAATCACTTAACTTCTCTGGGTCTAGGTATTTTATTATTTTTTTTTTTTTGTGGGACTGGAGTTTGAATTCAGGGCTTAGAGCTTGCAAAGCAGGCACTCTACCACTTGAGCAACACCTTCAGTCCATTTTGCTCTATTTTTGGAGATGGGGGGTTCTCATGAACTATTTGCCCTGACTGGCAATGAACTGTGATCCTCCTGATCTGTCTCCCAAGTAGCTAGGATTATAGGAATGAGCCACCAGTGCCTGGCTCCATCTGTTTTGTAAGTCTGGGTCTCACTATGTATCCCATGCTGTCCTTAACTCTCCATCCTCCTGCCTCAGCTTCCCCAGAGCTGGGATCATAGTTATGCACCACTACACCAGTTCTGAGCCTAGATTTTCTAAGGGAACTTTTAAGATATGGATAATATCATCTACCTTATAAGTTGTTTTAAGGATTAAATGAAATAAATAAGAGGTACTTGCAACATTGTCTGGTACACGGTAATTATTCTTATTAATGAGTACTCTTAATAATAACAGTATTTATTTCTTCAGTGAACCATGTAGAATGACCAATATTCAACCTTTTTTAATTTACAAAAGCAGCTGTTTCAGAATAGCTCCATCGTTATCCAGTTGTCTATTTAGCATCAAACAAAAAAAATTTTTTAAATACAGGAAATGTACAGATAGTGATAAGAAGATACCAAAAGGTCCAAGAAGATGGTTAGGGAAGGCTTCTGGAAAGAGGTGACATTGGAACTGAGCCCTGATGTAGAAAGAGGTGACAACAAAGGCAAAGAAAGAGCCAGAGGCTGGTAAACCTGAGCTGCCCAGTGTGAGAGGGGCACAGAGTGTCACCGTAGGAATCCAGGTGGGGGTGGGGTGCAAGGGTCTTCAGTGTGGGAGTCACTGAGCGGGGTCGAGCAGGGAAGGGAGTGGTGCTGTGAACTGATTAGGTTTTTCTTTGAGGAAGACTGGTGGCAGGGCAGTGGGGACCGGGATGCGGGGGAGTGTGGGACTGAGACCCATTGGGAAGCTGCGGTGCTGGCTGCAATGAGCGATGCTGGCGGCTTGGTTAGAACAGAAGCTAGTAATGGACATGGAAGTTGCTGGGTTCACAACTTATTCCGGAGACAGAGTGGACAGGGCTTCCCAAGAAATCCCAATGGGCACGGGGGTCAGCCACTGACAGATCGAGGATCCACTCTTCCCGGGATGGGAGGGCCTGGAGTTTTGGATTCCTGGTCCAGTCTACTTGCGGGGTGGGGGGAGAGGAAAACTGTAGGATCCAGTTGTCCCCGGGACGCGCTGCCCAGCAACATCATGAGTGACCCACCGCACTACTCAAAACTGGGTCTTTGCCCACTTCGCGGAAGGCCCGCGAGTCCGGAACCACAGGAATTCAGCCCCCACCCCGACTCCGCCCCCCGGGGCCCTGCGCCCCCTAGCGGTGGCCAAGCCGGCTTTCCCCCGGGGATTCCGGCCCCTCTGACCCCGGGATCCTCCACGCTGCCCTGCGTCTCGCCTGCCGTCCCAGGCCACGCAAGTCGGGACCCCGGCGGGCGGTTCTGCGCTCCCGGCCTCCCCTCGCTTCCGGAAGGCAGTGGAGGCAGCTCCTCCCGAAGCGGCGGCGGCGGGGGCGGGTGAGTCACGCAGCCGGAGCCAGGGAGCCGGCGCCTCCGCCCCCTTCTCGGGCTGCGGCGTGATTCACTCAGCCCGGCCGGGGCGGGAGGCACGTAGAGGCCCGGACGTCTCGATCCCGGGTAGCCCCGGAGAGTAACTGCCAGGCCTGGGTATCGAACACACCAAAGGACCCGGTCGCTGGTAACCCCTTCTCTTCCCCAGGCCCCTTCATTTACATACCCAGTTCACTCGCTGCCAATCAGAACAAAGAGGTAGCCACCCGCAGCCAATCAGGAAGCGGCGGCGGCAGCATCGCTCGCTAGCTCTCCGCCAGCAACCAGCGCCTGGGTCGGGAGTCGCAGTTCTGCCTCTGGCGCACGACTCCAGACTCTTGACTACCCTTAGCTACCGCCCACTCGCGTGGCGGCCCCGCCCCCACTCCAGGATTGGCTCTCGACGGTGATGGGCGGAGCCTATCTGGGATAGAGCCAAAGGAGGAGGGGGAGGGGGAGGGGGAGGGGGGAAGGTTGACATCAAGGCGCATGCCCGGGCGGCTACTTGAGCGAAGGAGCAAAGACTGGTGGCGATTTGCCGGGTGGAATCGAGGCTGGTCGGGACTTTTTGGAGTTTCACACCCACCCATGCTCCTGCCAAACCCAGCAACTGAATGTCTTACGTACTCAGCCCAACAAGGGTTTACACTCTAGACCAGCTAACTCTGGGTTCAAATACTAGCTCAACACTGTGACCTTGGAAGAATGTTTGTTTGACCTCTGCACTACACACAGTGTTAAATGGAGATCGTCTTGCCTCCCACTGAGGGTTAAAAAATTAAAATAAGATCGTATTTGTTAGAGCGCTGTACCAGATTCAAGAAATTCTGGACGGTTAACCTAGGTTGTAGCTGAAGACCAGAGTGCGGTGGGGATGGAATGTCACCAGGGGGTCACATCCTTGGCTCCCTTCCCTAAGAAGCTGTGTGACCTGGGGGAAGTGTTTTAATTCCTTAGCGTCTGAGTTTCCTCAGTTGAAATAAGGAAAATAGTATCTGGCTCAGGAGATCGTTTTGAGGATTAAGTAGAACGATTTGTGCAAAATGTTCTGAGCTGGGTGCAGTAATAGCTGTTGGTAAGTGGAGTGCTTAGTACGCAAGGGGGTGTGAGATAAACTAGCCAAAGAAATTACCTTCTTCTGGTAGCATGTCTGCTAATTCAAAGCTATGCAAAGTACTTTTAATTGTGAATAAAGCTCCTGACCAAAGTAAGCTCTCAAAACTGCCCACTATGGGGCTGGAGATGTTCATTTGTACAGTGCTTGCCTAGCATGGAAGAGGCCTGGGGTTCCATCCCCCGTACCATCAAAAAATAAATAAATAAGGAGCTATAATAGCTGATTCAGTCAGCAGCAATTATCAACAGATTCTCAAACCTCTGTGTGAAAATTTGATGGGGAACTGTCTTGACAGCCTCCAGAAACACCACCACAAAGGGGAAATCTTTCTATAGTGGATTAGGGAGTACACAACATTCTGCTTAGCGTCTGCCTGTCAAATTGCAACTCATCAAACTTCTAGACCAAACCTCCAGTTTATTGGAAGTAGAGAGGAACAGATTAATCACAATCAGACAAATCCAGAATGTGGGGCATCCCACAGCACAACTGAACCATTCTATCGGAAATTGAATGACAGCTGGGTGCTGGTGGCTTGTGCCTGTAATCCTAGCTACTCAGGAGGTAGAGATCAGGAGGATCATGGTTGGAAGCCAGCCCAGGCAAATAGTTCTCAAGACCCTATCTCGAAAAAAATCCATCACAGAAAAGGGTTGGTGGAGTGGCTCAAAGTGTAGGCCTGAGTTCAAAAAGGCAAAAAAAAAAAAATTCAATGACAAAAAGGGATGGTGTGTGTTTCAGAATCAGATACTATGTTATTCCAGCTGCTCCAGCCTATGGACTGGTGGCACCCACATTCAGGGCAGGTCTTCCTCCTTTAGTCAGTCATCTCTGGAAACACCCTCACAGACACATGGGCCTTACCAATCTCCTATTAAGTTGACAAGATTAAACATCACAGGTGATATTATGGGATTCTTTTCTTTTTGGAAAGGTGCAAAGCAGTCGCTCTACTGCTAGAGCCACACTTTCAGTCTGTTTTGCTCTGGTTGTTTTGGAGATTGGGTCTCCTGAACTATTTGCCTGGGCTGGCCTCAAACCTTGCTTCTCCCAAACTCAGCCTCCTAAGTAGCTGGGATTATAGACATGACCCACCAGCTCCTGGCTGTTATAATGGAATTGTTAATTCTTTTTGATGTGAAATAGTATTGTGGTTGTGGTTTGTAAGTTAATTTACTTTTTACTTTTTCTTTTGGCAGTGCTAGTACTCAGGGCTTCGAGCATGCTAGGCAACCACTCTACCACTGAGCTGCATTCTGACCCCTTTTAATGTTCGTCTTTCTTTTTCTCTCTTTCTTTCCCCTTTCTCTTTTCCTCCCTCCCTCCCTTTCTTCCTTCTTCCCCCCTTCCCTTCCTTCCTTCCTTTCTTTCCTTCTTTAATGCATTGTCTCTGTATCCCAGGCTGACCTAGAACTTGCAATCCTACTACTATTTCAGTCTCTTGACTGCTGGAATTGCAGGCATGTACCACCACATCTGACTTAAGAGATGTCTGGGGCAAGTGATATTGCTCAGTGGTAGAGCACTTGCCTAGCATGTGCAAGAACTTGGCTCCATTCCCGGCTAGAAAGAGAGAGAGAGAGAGAGAGAGAGAGAGAGAGAGATGCCTGATGATGACTTAAGAGCAGAATGTCAAGATGTTTGCAATTTACTCTTCGCTGGTTCACACAAATATGTACACACACATATATGCATGTGTAGATGAAGGCAATTTAGCAAAATATGAATAAGGATTAAATTAAGCTGGGAGGTAGCTGGGCACTCAGAATATTTATACTTTTGAAAACATTTTTTATTAGTATATTATAATTATACAGGGGTTTTGTTGTGACATTTCCATATAAAATATAGTGTACCCCAGTTTGGTTCATTCCCCTCCATTAATCTCCCTCCCACTCCCCTTTTTTTTGTGTGTGTGTGGTAATGGGGTTTGAACTCAGGGCCTTCACCTTGAGCCACTCCACCAGCCCTTTTCAAGATAGGGTCTCTCAAACTGGGCTGGCTTCGAACTTCGATCCTCCTGATCTCTGCCTCCTGAGTAGCTATGATTACAGGCGTGAACCACCAGCTCCTGGCTTCCCACTCCTCTTCTTGAAATGACTTTGACATATGTATACTTTTTTCTCCATTGTTTTCTATGTATTTGACTTTTTACACAATAAAAACAGAATAAAATGGTCATTTGAACCCAGCTCCTGCTAGGTAAAGCCACATAATTCTCCCCACAACCCATGTTTATGGCTCCACAAAAAGGAGGCTCAGAAAATCTGGGTGTGCTGGTGTACCTCTGTAATGCCAGCACTTGGGAGGCTGAGGTAGGAGGATCCAGAGTTCAAGGCCAGCCTGGGCTACGCAGCAAAAAAAAAAAAAGTAAAAAAGTTCAGGTGCTAAGGCTAACATCTATAATCCCAGCTACTTGGGAGGCTGAGATTGGGGAGAGGGTCAAGATTTGAGGCCAGGCTGGGCAAAAAGTTATTGATATTCCATCTTTTTTTTTTTTTTTTTGTGGCACTGGGGCTTGAACTCAGAGCCTCCTGCTTGCTAGGCAGGCACTCTACCACTTGACCCACTTTGCCAACTGTATTTTATTTTGGGTTTTTCAGGATAGTCTCTATAACTATTTGCCTCTGGCTGGCTTTGAACCCCAATACCCCTGATTTCAGATCCCTTCTTAACCAATCAGTTGGGTGCAGTGGTGTGCATTTGTCTGTAATCCCAGCTGTGGGGGAGTCATAGGTACGGGGATCTCAGTCTTAGGCCAGGCCTGGGCAAAAACCTCAAGACCTTACCTGAAAAATAACTAAAGCAAAATAGGGTTGAGAGCATGGTTCAAGTGGTAGAGGGTTTGCCCAACAAGCACCAGTCTCTGAGTTCAAACCCCAGTACTGACAATGGAGGCTGACAGATAGGTGCAAAGGCAAAGAATGAAGTGTGGTGGGATGGAGGATGAAAAGTGAAAAGGGCAAGGGGCTTCCCTAAAGAAGCAACATTTGAGTTGAAAACCTGACAAAACGAGAGCAGTAGCAAAACCATGGAGGGAAGGTGTTCTAGACCCAGGAAGGAGCCAGTGCAAAGGCCCTGGGGTACTGTTGGTTGGGTGGCAAGGCCAGTTGGACTGAGAGCTGTGATGGTGGTGGGGGAAGGTCCAAGAAGTTATTAGGCCTTTTACACTAAGGTCCATATTCAAAGATGGGGGAATGACAAGTCCCTGAAAGATAAAAAAGTGAGAAAAAGAATCTTTGCCTGTGTTCAGGTGACAGAAGAAAATAAAATAGGATGGAGTGGGTAGAGAAGCCTAGGGAGAGGTGCCTGTGGCCTGGGTGGTCCCGATGGAGCCACCCCCAAGGAGGTGACACCGGAGCCAGGAATTCAAAGGCTGGAGAAAGGAAAGAGAGGGAGGCCGGGCCTGGAGAAATGAAACCAGAAGCTAAGCCACCAAGGAGGGCGGGTGGAGGGTGGGGATCACCAGCTGGGGAGGGAGGGAGGGAGGGAGAGGGAGAGGAAGGGAGGGCGCCCGCCTCAGCCCGGTCCCTGGGGAGGGAGGAGGCGCCAGACCGGCTCCAGCCGCCACTGCGTCCCTGGTCTCCTGCTGGCTGCCCAGCCCCGGAGGAGGGTGGGCAGGTGGGAGGGACCCGGCCTCCCCGCCACCTCCCGGCCACTCCCATAGCCACCGTGGCCCATCCCCCACCGCAGGACCGCGGGGGAGGACTGGTTGGGGAACGCGGACTCTGCCCTCAGGGGCTCGGTCCCTCCGCAGGGCCAGCCTTTCCACTTCTGGGGCCAGGTCGTTAACAGGTGCGACATTTGGGAAGGAGCTGGGCCTCTCGGAGTTGTTCACTTGCACACTGGGGTGTTCTGCTGGAGCAGGGACTGGCAGGGGGAGGGAGAGAAGGGAGAGACGCTAGGAAGCTCCCCATTCCCCTTTTCTTGCTTTGGCTGTCTTTAAGATAGGGTCTTGCTAGGTAGCCCAGGCTGGCCTCAAACTCAATCCTAAAGCTTTAGCCTCCTGAGTGCTGGCATTACAGATGTGCACTACCGTGCCTGGCTTCTCTTTTCTTTCAGGGAAGTCTGAGAGACCTCTAAGAAGAAGGTGAGACAGGTCACGTCCCTTCTCTGCCCAACACCCTCCCATCACTTCCATCTCCTCAGAATGAGGCTGGAGTCCTCCCAGTACACTAGGGCGACTTGATTGCCTTTCACTTCTTTCACTTCGTTTTCTGGTACTCTGCCCCTTGCTCACTCTGCTGCAGCCACACTGGCTCCTCACTGCCCCACAAACCTTCCACTCATACTCTGACCTCAGGGCCTTTGCACTGGCTGTTTCCTCTGTCTGGGTTGTTCCCTCAGAAACCCACATGGCTCACCCCTCACCACCTTCAGACTCTTAATCCAAATGTTACCTTGTCCATGAAGCCTGTCTCACCACCTCATCCCTTGCCCCTTCGATTCTCTTTTTTGGGTGTTTTGCTTTTTTGCTGGACTGGGGTTTGAACTCAGGGCCTCACACTTGATAGGCAGATGCTCTACCACTTGAGCCACTCCTCCAGCCCAAACATGTGGGCTCTGGTGTCAGATTTCCTGAGTTCCAATCCTGACATTTTGTTTTTTGCCGTACTGGGGTTTGAACTCAGGGCCTCACATTTGCTAGACAGGTGTTCTACCAGTTGAGCCACTTTGCCAGAGGGACTGGGGTTTGAATTTAGAGCTTCACATTTGCAAAACAGGTGCTCTTCCACTTGAGCCTCACCTCCAGACCATTTTGTTGTGGGTATTTTGGAGGTGGGGTTTCTTGAACTATTTGCCCAGGCTGGTCTCAAACTGTGATCCTCCCAATCTCAACCTCCCAAGTAGCTAGGATTATAGGAGTGAGCCTCCATGCCTGGCTTTTCTGTTGTTATTGTAGTTTTGATACTGAGTATTGAATCCAGTACCTTGTTACTTGCTAAGCAAGTACTCTACTACTTGAACCACAGCCCCAGTCCTTCTGTTTTGTTTTGTTAACAATTTTAACGGGTTTCATTATGCTATCTCATACATGAACGTAACGGACTTCAATAATATTTACCCCTCCACACTCCTCCTCCCTCCCATTGCTTCCTTTCCCATCCCCATTTTACACTCATGGCTTTAAGTGAGATCACTTAGCATGATTCCCCACTTCCATCCATTTTCCTGAATCTGAGACAGGGTCTTGCTCCGTTTGCTCAGGTTAGTCTGGAGATCCTCCTGCCTTTGCCTTGCAAGTAACTGGGATTACAGGAATATACCACCATGCCCAGCTTCATCCAGCTGTTGAGGTTGGAAGCTGGTGGTAAGGTAAGGTGTGGCTGGAGCACAGGAGTGAGGGTATGTTGAGAGAGGTAGGAGGCAGTGGTAGCCATTATAAGGTCTGGAGTTGTTTTTCAACACCCGCAAATAACTTTTCAGCACCCACCTGTGCCCAGTGTACTTCCAGGCTAGTGGGGTACGCATAGTCCAACACAACCCCTCCTCAGAGAATTTCTGATAGAGTAGGAGGCTTACCACAAATGGTAATAAGTAATTTGGGATTGGAAAAGAGCTGTTTAGAAAATCAGACCAGGCTGGGGCTGTGGTTCAGTGGTAGAGCACTTGCCCAGTGTGTACAAGACCTGGGTTCCATCCCCAGCACTGAAAAAACAACAAAAAAAAACCCCAAAAAAACCTGTCAGGTGTTTGTGGCTCATGCCTATAATCCTAGCTCCTTAGGAGGCAGAAATCAGGATAGGGGTTCAAAGACAGCCCAGGCAATAGTTCCAGAGAACTTATCTTGAAAAAGCCCATCCATAAAAGGGTTGGTGGAGAGGCTCAGGGTGTAGACCCTGAGTTCAAACCCCAGTACCGAAGGAAAAAACAAAAAAAACCCTAATAGATGAAACGGGATGGTGGTACCACTGGAAGGGCAGGGGACATTTGGATTGGTGGAGCTATAGGGAAAGTGTTTTCTGGGCAGATGTAACATCAAGTACAAAGGCCCTAGGATAGAAGTGAACTCGGGGTAGTAGACCAGCATAGCTAGAACTGTGTGGAGTGGGAATCGAAGCTGGTGAAGTTGCCAAGCTTTATAGACCCCCTGGGTGGAGTTGGGGCTTTATTTTATTCTGAGGTTTGTTCTGGAGGTTTCACGGAAGAGAAAGCGATGATTCAGTGGGCACCCATCTTGGAATGCAGGCCTGTGTTTTGTAACTCCCTCTTCCCCCTGGATTAGCACCTACCTTCAGGTAAGCCAAGTACTTTCTGACTTAAGATAGTGTCTGCTCAGGGCGAGGTGCCTGGCACAGGCCAGAAACCACAAGCAAAATCCCCATCCTTTCTTTACCCATAGATTCTATACAAAAGTGTAGGTTCCTCCCTGAAAACCTTCCAGGAAAGTCCCTAAAGCAGCAAAAGCTCACCTGGGTACAGGCAGTATAGCAGCATGTGAGCTTGCCTCTCTTTGGGCTCCCTTCTTTCCCCTCTCCCTCCAGCGAGCCTGCACCTCCCAAATCAAGCCTCAGCATCTGAACTCATGCCTGGCTCTGATTTGGGAAAAGTGCCCGGAAAAATTCTTTCAGTATGGGGTGGGGGGCCCCCTGGGCCTCAAAAGCATACTTCCTAACAAAGGAAAGGTTGACTTCAGTGCTAGCCAGCCTTCTGTTGCAACACATCCTTTCCAAGAGGGCCCATGTGGCTAGGATGCTCATTATCTACCGAGTAGCAAGCCTTGAGAACAGGCCCTTGTGGTGGGGTGCAGAGCTCAATGGTAAGAATGCTTGCCTGGCATAGAGGGGGGCCTGGGCTTGATCCCCAGCACCACTAAAAAAAAAAGGAAGCTTCAGCAGCCAACTAAATTTACCTCCCTAGTCCTTGCTGTGTGACCCTGAGCAAGTGACTTGCCCTCTCTCAACTTCTGCATTTAAAAGAATTTACGTCTTGCATTTTGCAGTGCTGTGGGGCCAAACCCAGAGTCTAAGACATGCTATGCAAACGTTTATCACTCTTATACTCCGCGTCCAGGGTTTTCCTATGTAAAATATAATAATAAGTATCTATTTCTACATAACCCTGAGGATTAAAGGATTTAATTCAAATAAAATGGGTACAATAGTACTCTTAACAAGCACTCAGTAACTGTTATATACAATGTGACACCTGCTCCACCTTTGGCAGGGAAAGAGGACAATGCCTAAGAAACTTACCAGGTCCTTCCAATCACTCCAGTGAATTTACAAATTTAAGGCAACACTGCTTCTTCCAAAATATTTTTATTAAAAAAAAAAAAAATTACAAAAAAATCCAAAAAAAAAAAAAAAGCCACCACAAACCCTGCCTTTCATTTAAATAATTCGGCATGAAGCAGTTTGGTTTCCACCCTTATTGCACGTGGTCCGGCCTGGTTATGAATCAGGAGGCTGTTGGGACTGGGGCCCTGCCGAGGAAGTGGGGTTCAGCCGGTGGGGGAGGAAGAGACCAGCCCCTCCTCCTCCCTAAATAGGCAGAACATGGGTTTCCAGAGCAGCCTGGTATCACACAGCTGTCACCCTTTGACAGGCCCAGCTTGATCTTCCCTGAGGCCCCTGTGGTCACTAGGGGAGTGGGAACTGAAGGCAGAAGAAACGTAGACGTAGAGAATCAGACTCCCAGTAACAGAGTCTCAATAAGGCATCTGGAGATAAATTAATTCAGGAGCATCCACCTTCACAGAAGGCTGTGGTAACCAGACAGACACACATGCAAGAGTTCGTGGAACCCTGAAATGGGATGGAAGGAGGCCAGTCATTGTTGAGAGCCCCCACCAAGACAGACAGACAGACAGACACACACACACACACACACACACACACACACACAACCAGTCCCATCCAGGGATTAGGTCTGCTGAGGCTGACTCCAGGAGGGATCCCTGATCCCACTTTTAGGACCCCAGAATGATTTCCATAATGTGATCCAGTTCATTCCACTCCCAGGACCCCGGGGCACAGAAGAGGCTGTGTGGTGGCTCCGGGGAGGCCAGTGCAGGCTCCTTTTCCACTACAGATGTGTCAATGTCCATAAAGAAGTCATCCAGGCCAGAGTCTCCCAGGTACCGAGAGCTCAGAGCTTCTAAGAAGACTGGATCAGGTTGGGGCAGTACTTCATTCTGGAAGCCTGGGGCAGCCACTGGATTCTGGGGTGGTTCTGTCTCATCCACGGAGGTCTCTAGCTCCCTAAGGATAGAACCGATGGTGGTGGACAGCGAGAAATCCTCCTCGCCCAGAAAGAGAGGCTCTGGGGGCAGGGCAGGTGCTGGAGCCAGGCGAATGGCAGCCTGAAGCTGTTGCAGGGTGTTGTGGATGAGGACGTGCCTGAGGAGGCTGGGGGATCGGGGGCCCAGGCTGCGCTGGACTTTGTCTAAGGAGATGCGCAGCAGGGCTTGCTGGGAGCTCTGAAGGCCAGCTGGACTCCAGTCCCACTTCTCAGTCTCCTCCTCCTCTTCCAAATCTGAGTGTTTCCTCTTCACCCCTCCCACCATGATGCCCTGCAGAGAGATGAGAGGACAGTCAGGCACAAGGGCTTTCAGATCCCCCCTCCTCAGGCAGGCTTATATAGTTATGGGTGATTTTTAATGATCAGAACCTCTGCGTACTCATCTACATAAAATGCATAAAGTCTGAATCCTACAAGGCCTTGCATTCAATTAAGAATACAAGATGTGGCCGGGCACCTGTGGCTCATCATGCCAATAATCCTAGCTACTTGGGAGACCGAGATCAGGAGGATTGAGGTTAGAGGCAAGCCCAGGGAACTAGTTTGCAAGATCCTATCTCCAAAACAACCAGAGCAAAATGGACTGGGAATGTGTGTGGCTCAAGTGGTAGAGTGCCTGCTTTTCGGAGTGAAGCTCTGAGTTCAAACCTGTCTCACAAAAAGACAAAAAAACCACCACCACCAACATGTGGACTTAAATGTAGATTGGCTTCAATCAAGCTAATTTCCAAAATAAGGATCCTAACTCAAGTCTCTATGGTCTTAAAACTATTCCTCCACAGTAATTTTTTTCAAACGTGTCACCCACCACACAAGTGTAGAGTACAGAGTCCTGCATCAAAATGAGGGAATCCTGGGTTTGAATTCTGCCTTTGGCCACTACTCAGCTGTGTAATTTTGGGAAGTGACGTGGTGTCACCTCTCTGGTCCCCAGTTTCTTCATCTGTAAAATGGGGATTGTAAAAATACTTCAAGCCACATCGCCAAGGAGATCCTCACATGTAATATGCACAGCCACAGAACACAGGAAGTACTAAACAAGAGTTAATTACTATGTATTTGGTCAATAATTTTATTGAATTCCTACTACATTCCTGCCACCCAGAGCCCTATTAGAGCATCTACCTGTCAATATTTTTTTTTTTTTACAGGGAGGATATTTCTGTTCTTGCCTTCTTCCAACACTAACTGGGAGTGCTCCCAAAAGCAGGGAAGGGACCTTCCTCATTCCTTCCATCCGCGTCTTCAAATTCCCCCAAAGCGCGCCCCAGAAAAAAACTTGCTAGAAGGCAACTAACGCAAACCCGCCCCCAGCCAGCCACCCAACCAGACTTCGGCATTCCACAGGCCCGCCCCCTCCCTGTGTCTCTATTCAGCACCCAGGAACGCCCCAGTTTGCCCCATGGCTTCCTGGGAAATGTGGACTCACAGCCGCCAGGTACATGCACTGACGTCGAGCACTACTACAATTCCCAGAGGGCCCTGCTTGCCAACCGGACGAAACTCCCCCGCCCTCCCTCAGGACATGCGCAGAGGGGCCCGGGATGGTGGGGGAAGGGAACCCGGACGTCCAGCTGCCGGGCGCCAGCCGAGCCCCGCCCTCCATTGCCTCCGGGGCGGCGGGTCTGAGCTCCACGCCCGGAGCACCCCTCCCCCACCCGACTCCAGCTCTAAAACTGCTTTCTCCCGGTCTCTACCATTCCAGAAGGAATTTTCCCCCAAAACTCGGGTCCAGAGCCCCAGGTCCCGTCACGTCGCTCAAAGACGACAAATGCTCTCCGATATGCTTCCTTATTCTCCAGGCTTTCTAACGTCTCTAGACCACCTCCAAAGTTCCCGTCCGGCCCCAAGAACCGAACATTTCACTCGGCTCTCCCCGCAGCGGCGTCTTGGAGTCTAAGAGTCTTCTCTGGCTTCTCCAAGTGCTCGGGAGCCCAGCCTTAAACTTCTCACACCATTTCCAGAACACGATGGAGCTCCTAATTCAGCTCGTTCGGGAGTTCCAAACTGTCCTAACTTTCAGATTCTCTGCCCCAAGTTTCTTCCCTGCGTTCTCTCGCGTCTCCAAACACCTCGTGTCGCAGTTTTAAACTCCCTCCACTTAAAAAAAAAAAATCCTGCCTTGCCCTCCGCCCTGGATTTCAAGCTCAGTCGCTGTTCCTCCAGACCTCCAAACCCCATCAGTCCACCCTTAATCAGCGTCCTCCACTCCAGCCCACACCCCGCCTCTGCCAATTTCGGGGGCGCTCCAACCCACCCCAAGGTAAGCCCCAAATCAGGCGGCCACGCCTACCTCAACTGCCAGGTTCGCAATGACCACCTTCTGGAATGTCTGCGGCACTGCGACCCACCAGTACAGAGTAGAGACCTCGCTCACCTCCTTCCCGGGGCCTCTCGATCTGGCCTAAGGCCACTCAGCTCCGCCCCCGAGCCGAGCCGCAAGCCGCGATTGGCTGGAGTCTTGCCCGCTGAGGGGCGCCGATTGGCTGGGCGGAGCCATCGCCGGACGCCAGGCACCGCCCGACTTGCCCGCAATTCCCCAGCGCCCGGGACCATTTAAAGGATTTTGACTCGTCAGGGGCAGGGCTTCGTCTCTAGGGAGGACGGTGGCGGGACAGGCAGGACCACTTCCCTCATCTCTGCGAGGGTCCGTGCTTCGAAGTGGTCACCATTGATCTCTGAGACCCCTTTAGACCAGTTCTGAACGCCATCTCGGAGGAAGACCGGATAGCCCCACCCATCCCGTACCGCCTCCCTCGCTTTTCAGGAGGGAGGGGCTGGGCAGCTGGCGGAGGCCACGCCCCCGGGGTTCCCTGAGATGGCGCATTAAGTAGTTTAGCCAGTAGTTTGGCGCGGCCTCCGTTGCCTGGACGACCGCGGCCCCGCCTCTCCTCTGTCCTGTCTCCCGCCCCCCCCCGCCCCCGCAACACACCAGGTCGGAGACCCCTTTTAATCCTTTCTCAGCGCGTAGTCTGGTGGTCCCTCCTGGATTCCTCTGGAGCCCGTCTTCCCACTCTCTGGATACCCTTTCTGCTGCTGGGAACTATTCATGGCTTCACATTGCCCTGGAGACAAAGTCCAAACTCCTTACCTTTTTTTTTTTTTCCGCTGTACTGGAGTTTGAGCTCAAGGCCTACATCTCAAGCCACTCCACCAACTCTTTTTTGTGATGGGTTTTTCGAGATAGCTTCTCACGAACTATTTGCCAGGGCTGGCTTTGATCCGGGATTCTCCTGATCTCTGCCTCCTGGGTAGCTAGAATTACAGGCGTGAGCCACCAAGGGCCCGGCTCTCTTTTTTTTGAGACAGGGTCTCTATGTAGCTGAGGCTGGCCTCTCCCGATCTTCCTGCCAAAGCCCTTGTGTCCTAGGATTGTAGACGTGCCACCAGGCCCGGTTTAAACTCCTTACCTTTGCCACAAAGCATTTCCAGATCTGCTCTGTGCCGCCCTCCTTGCACTTTACGTTCACTTTTAGTTTTTTGGGGTTTTTTTGGTGGGATTGGGGTTTGAACTTAGGATTTCATGTTGCAAAACAGGCGCGCTACCGCTTGGGCCATACCTCCACTCCATTCAGGAAGTATTTACCTGGGCTGGCCTTGAACCGCGATCCTCCTGATCTCATCCTCCCAAGTAGCTTAGAATAGCTTTTCTAAAATGGCTCCAGTAGCCCGGCAAGAAGGACCACGGCGAGTTTTGCCTGTTTTCTTTCCTACCTCATCTCCTGAAAGATATCTACCTAAAAAAACATGCCAGGTCCATAGCAAGCAGTCAACAATGAGAATGAATGGACTCAGGCTCTTTAAACTTAATTACCCCAATTCCTATGCTGCAGCTCATGGAAACCATCTCGAGCCAGGGCCAGTGGTAGAGTGCTTGCCTAGCAAATGCCGGCATCAGCAAAACAAATAAATTAAAAAACAAACCTGATTTTCAACTTCCTTGCCGTAAAACCTCAGACAAAAGCTCTACTTTTTACAATAACTGCATTACTGCTCCATGGACCATTTTCTTAGTCAGCCGTCTTCGCCTCACCTCAGAACAGCAGCACTATTTACTGTAGGGGACAGACAGATTTCAACTCTTCAGAGGAGCTGAGACCTTTCTGGCTCCCTGGCCTTTGCTCATGTTTCTTCTGCTGGGACTCCAAAACCTTCTCTTGGTTCATTCTTATCAAAACAGGTTTCAGATTGGACATACACTCCTCTTCCATAAAGCCCCTTTTGCTCCTCAAGCACTACGTGCTTCCTGCAAAGGAGCCCTGGCCATTCTGGGTTGTCACTGTCAGGGGCGGGGCTCTCTCACCCACTGAATTGTGAGAACTGGGAAAGTGGTGGCTCATGGCTACCATGGCCACCACTGGCTCTCAGCACAGGGCTGGGCATAGACAAGGGACTAAATAAACTTATAAATGAACGAATAAATGAATGAACACCACACACAGAGACAGACATTGCAATTTTCACAGGTCGAGACAGAGTCAAAGTTAGGTCCTCTAATAATTTGAAGCTCTTGGTTCAAGATTTATTGCTCCCCCTTTGTGGCTCATTTCTCAACCTGTTATCCTCCTAGACAAGGCCAGGGTTCTAGTCGTACTGGTGGGATGGATAGGTGCTGTGACCATTGTACTCATCGGTGGTAAGGCAGTGCAACATGAAGTGGCCCAGGTCATGTTTGGAGATGACCCTTGAGGGCCCTCGTCCATCCAGTGTCACTGTGTAGGCCCCAGTTAGCGGCTGGTCCCCTGTGAGGTAATGACAGAGGGGATGGGTGAAGCAGATGTTCTTTTTTGTGTGTGTGTCACGAGTTTGAACTCAGGGCTTCTAGCTTCCAAAGCCTGCGCTTTACTGCTTGAGCCACATCTCCAGTCTGTTTTTCACTCTGGTGATTTTGGAGATGGGGTCTTGCAAACTATTTGTTGGGGCTGGCCTCCAGCTATGATCCTCCAGATCTCAGCCTCCTAAGGAACTAGGATTATAGGCGTGAGCCATAGGCACCTGGTCCAGATGATCTGCCTCAGTCTTTGGAGTGGTTGAATTACAGGTGTGCACCACCATTTCCAGCAGTAGATATCCTTCTGCTCCCTCAACAGGTGACCACGGAAAGCCCTTCCCAGGGTACCTATGTGTGTCCTTCACTTAGCAGCTAAGCAGCAGGTGCCTAGCTATTCCACAAATCCCTGTTGATTTTCTGTTGTGGGCCAGTTTGGTACATGTGAAGTAGTGTTTCATGGTGGCTTTAATTTGCATTCTCCACATGGCCAATTAAGTTGATAGTATTTGACATTTGTGCATTCTCTGTAGTGGAGTATCTCTTGCTAACTTTTATCCATTTTTTTCTAATTTGATTACTTCTGTTTTAACTGTTGAGTTTTGAGAATTTTTTTGGTGGGACTGGGGTTTGAACTCAGAGCTTTGCACTTGTGGCTTGAACCACACCTCTAGTCCATTTTGCTCTGAGTATTTTGGAGACAGGGGTCTCAAGAACTTGTTCTTTTTTTTCAGTGATGGAACCCAGGGCCTTGGGCGTGCAAGGCGGGTCCTCTCTCACTAAGCTTTGCTCTTGGCTCCACCTAGGTCTTTCATAGTGGGGAGAATGGACAGGCATAGGTGGCTGTTAAGAGGACATCTGATGGCTGCACTATGGTAATTAAAAATATCTGAGCCATGCATGGTGAGGAATGCCTGTGATCCCAGCACTCAGTAGGCTGAGACAGGAAGATTGAGAGGTCAAGGCCAGCCTGGAAACTACATAGTAAGACCCTGTCTCAAAAATAAATAAGTAAATAAATAAACAAAAATATCAAGGCTGGAGTGTGGCTCAAGTGGTAGAGCTCCTGCCTAGCAAGCTCAAAGTCCTGAGTTCAAATCCCAGCACCTTACCAAAAATAAAAGGAAAAAAATCTGACTGAACTGAAAGAGACCAATAAACTTAGGGACCAAACATAGTATGACCAGAAACAGCCTGGAAAAAGCACACAGCGTCATCCATGTGGCATTCCTGTCCCAAATGTTTGATCGGAATTTGTAAGAAGACAGCCAGAAAAATCTAAAATGTGAAGAGCTTGTATTTCTTGGTTTGTTCTTTCAGACAAGGGCTTGCTAGGTAGCCCAGGCTGGCCTTGACCTTTTGATCCTCCTACCTCAGCCTCCTGAGTGTTCAGATTACTGGCATGAGCCATCAAGCCTGGCTCAGTGTTTACAATTTTAGGGTGACCAGAGAAGGCCCACAGATCCCTCCAGAGGGCATGAGGGAACAGGCTGGTGGCAAGAGTATCCCTGGGTCCCCATCCCACTCACCTATGTGTGGCGGCATCACAGCCACGTACTTCAAACCTGACTCCTGCAGCACCTTGTGCATCCGGATGTGGTCGTCAGTCACGTCCTGCAGGCGTGGGGGCACCTTTGTTGGGTCCCATAGCAGGAAGGCTGCACGGTGGGGAATACATGGCAGGGTCAGGCTGGGCTGTCCTGTCTAGGTGGCAGGACAGAATCCTTCAGTAGTTCAGCACTGCCTTTCAGCTGCCACAACAAGGGTCACTCTGGCCACTTCTCTCACTCCACAGAACAGCCAGCAGATCACGCCAGTTCTAAATCTGACCCCCTTCTCTCTCACTTGGTCCTGTGCACTGTGACCTCTTGCCCTTGCCCCACAACCTTACAGCCAGAGGAAGCGTGTGAACACCCGAGTGGGGTGTTATTGGTGGTTTCTCATCTCACTCAGAGTCAAAGCCAAGTCATCACCAGGTGTGGTGGTGCACATCTATAATTCCAGCACTCAGAGGGCACAGAAAGGAGGATTGAAGTTTGAGGCCAGCCTGAGCTGCATAGCGAGACCAAGGGCTGGGGTAGAGCACTTGTTTACCACATGCAAGGCCCTAGGTTCTACCCCCAGCACCACAAAAAAAGAAAAGAAAAGAAAAAAAAAAAAAGCCAGGTTCTCACCATGGTCACTTCCACCTGATCTGGCCCCACTAGCTCTCTGACATCACAGCCCAGCCTGCTCTTCTTCAATTGCTCTGTGCAGCCACACTGAGCCTCACAGCTTTTGCAATTGCTGATCCCTCCATCCCAATGAAGTTCTCTCTCATGACTCCTTCTTTTGCTTGCAGACTTTGTTCACTTTGTTCAAAGGTCACCTCTTGGTACATCTTCCCCTAACCATCCTATTTCAAATTGCACCCAAGGCTGGGCATGGTGGTACACACCTATAATCCCAGCTATTCAGGAGAAGGAGGTAAGAGAATCGAGGTCTGAGGCTGGCTTGGGAAAACTTATGAGACTATCTGAAAAACAAACTAAAAAGCAAAAGCACTGGGGGCTTGGCTCAAGTGGTACAGTGCTTGTCTAGCAATCTTGAGGCCCTGAGTCCAATCCCCAATTCTGCCAATAAAAGTACATAAATAAATTGTACCCCACCCCAGCTTAGACAATCCCTTACCCTGCCTGGTGTTTTCTCTAGCAGCCTTTTGTGCCATCAATGCCACTGTTACCCCTGGACCTAACTTACTATCTCTCTCTCCTACTAGGAGGCTCTACGTGGCAGCAACTTTGTCTATCATTTTACCTTCCCCATTCCCAGTCCTCAAGGGGCCTGGACCTCTGCAGGTGCTCAGCAAATAGTTCTTCTTCTTCTTTTTTTTCAGTAGTGGGGCTTGAATTCAGGGCCTTCACCTTGAGTCACTGCACCAGATTTTTGTGAAGGGTTTTTCAAGATAACGTATCACAAACTATTTGCCCAGGCTGGCTTCAAACAGAGCTCCTCCTGATCTCTGCCTCCTGAGTATCTAGGATTGTAGGTGTGAGCCACTGGTGCCAGGCTTAGCATATATTTCTTGAAGACATTACTTAGCCTTGGCTAAACTAGAACAGGAGCTCACCTTTATAGAATTCTTACCATGTCCCAACTATGCTAAATGTGTTAGGAGCAGTTTGGATAGATAAAAGCGTGTGCTGCAGAGAGGCTCAAATTCTGGGTCTACACATTGGCCAGCTGCCTGTATCTCCATGTGTAAACTGGGATGATGTACGTGCTGGTGTTGGGGCTGAGGGTGTAGCTCAGTGGTATGGTGTGTGCATAAGGCCCTAGGTTCTAGACACAGCACCAAAAAAAAAAGTTGGAGTTAATGCTGGTGGTTACGACAAGGTCTGGCACAAAACAAACTCACTCGCTGGTCACTGTGATGTCATTAATTCACTACAGCAGGATTCCCTGTTTACAAATGAGAAAACTGAGGTTCAGGGCATGAGGTGGAGGCTCAATGCCACAGGGCCTTGGGGTACAACCTCTTCATTCTGCATTGCGGCAGCCTCTGGTCTGCAGCCGCAGTCTCAGATCTGCTCTGTTTCTCACTCTTGTGTTTTTTTAACGGTACTTGGGATGGAACCCAGGATCCTGTGCACGTGAGGCAAGATCTGTCATTGGAATCACATTGCCAGGCCTTTTTTTTTTTTTTTCTTTTTTTGGCAGTACTGGATACCAACACTCTAGGTTATTGCTGTTGTTTTGTTTCATTTTGAGAGGGGTCTCACTACATAGACCAGGCTAGTCTCAAACTCACCATCTTCTTGCAATCTAGATGGGATTACAGGTATGTGACACCACACTAGCTATATTCTGGGTTTATTTCTAAGAATCTTCCTCTTCTTCGTCTTTTTTTTTCTGGCAGCACTGGAGTTAGAACTCAGGGCCTCATGCTTGTTAGTCAGGTGCTCTACAACTTGAGCCACTCTGCCAGCCCTCAGGCACCTCTTTCAAAATAACCTTTGCAGCCAGGCACCCGTGGCTCACGCCTGCAATCCTAGCTACTTGGAAGACTGAGATTGGAAGGATCTCAGTTCAAGGCCAGCCCAGGCAAATAGTTTGAGAGACCCTATCTCCAAAATAACCAGAGAAAAATGGGCTGGGGGGTGTGGCTCACACGGTAGAGCACCTGTAAGTGGGAAGCCCTGGGTTCAAACCCTAGTTCCACCAAAAAAAAAAAAAAAAAAAAAAAAACCCAAACTTCCCAAACTACAATGGATTGTACTCTATGCTCTTAGGACAGGGTCTTTCTAATCTTTGACATTAAAACTTGCTAGGCAGGCACTTTTACCACTTGAGCCACTCCACCAGCCTTTTTTTTTTTTTTTTTGGTGGCACTGGGGTTTGAACTCAGGGCCTCAAGTAAAACTTGAATAAGGAAGGAAGCTACTCTTAATAACTAGGGGCTGTTAGAGACCTAGAGTTCTTTCCTCAGGTGTGACGACAGTACTATGTTCTAGAAGAGGAAGTTCTCCCTCCTCTTCCCTCCTCCTCCTTGCAAAGGAATTTCTGAAGAGGTCCCTGGGCCTGAAACTCCACATCAAATAGTTTAGGAAAAGTTTGTGTATGCATGTGAGTGTAGATAAATCAATTGTGATAAACATCAACAATTTTTGAGTTAAGGCAGGAATACAGGTGTTCATTCTACTATTCTTTCTATTTTTGTTTGAAAATTTTTACAATAAAAATTGAAAGCCAGGAATGCACAGCTGTAATCCCAGCACTTGGGAGGCTGAGGCAGGAGGATCCCAAGTTCCAGAGCAGCCTGGGTTAATTTTTTTTTTTGTAGGTTTGGGATTAGTTTTCCACTTTAAAGGTTGAGGGAAAATCACCATAAATGGTTTTGCTTCCTGCTCTTCATCTAGATCTGGCCTCCATGACTTTGCTCTTACTGCCCCTGTGCCACCTGCATGGTTACTGCCACCATGTAGTCTTCCCTGTGGAGATAGCCTGGCATACCTCTCACTCTGCTGGCCACAGCAGTGTGAACCCAGGCAAGTGACCCATTAGCCTTGCTGTGCACCTACTGTATTTTATATGCAAAGGAATTCTTGGCAGTACTAGGATTTGAACTCAGGACTTTGTGCTTGCTAGGCAGCCACTCTACCACTTGAGCTACACTTGAGCCCTATGCAAAGGAAGGCTATGAGGCTTTCATCCCTAATAAGCACTCAATAGATGCTGCTGGCACTAACTGCTCCTGCTGGACACGGTGGTCTTCCTTTTAGATAACTCAGGGCAGCTTTTCATTTTTTCTGGTTTGGGAATGGAACTAGGGCCTCACACATGCTAGGCAAGCGCTCTACATTCCCAACCCCGGAGGGCACCTGTTTCTTTAATCTCTCCATAACTGGGGGCTCCAGGAAGGTAGTGAGCTGGTGTATACCACACCTCTACGACTTCCTCAGGGAAGTCCCACTCACCTCTCTCTGGCTTCCTCTGGGCTCCCTTATTTCTCCCAGGATCCTTTGCTTCTCCTATCCTGGCTCTGACACCTCTCCCCATCCCCCACTGTGCCTCCTCCATCCTGGCCCTGCTTATCTGGGATGTCAGCTCAGTCCCAGATCTGTTCACCACTTCTGTCTCCTCTGTGGGCCCTGTCCAGGCCTGCATTGTTCAGCCCTATGTCCCTGGAATCACCCAGCAAGGTTAGGGCACACACCTGGTGCTCAGTAAATGCACAGTAACTTGGAGTGTCTTCAATATCACCTCTCAGAGAGCCCTCGGTTGCCTGCCCAGTACCCACCCTCCAGTTCAGCCCCACCTCCATGACCCCACCACCCACCCGAGGTGCAGGCCACGACCTTGTCCACTCCATGAGCTTTCATGGCTGCCACAATGTTTCGGGCACCCTCGGACATCACTGTAGTGGGACCTTAGAGAAGACAGAGAGCGGCTGTCACTGGTGGGCGGTGGTGGTGGCAGCGGCAGGGGTGGGGCTGGGGGTGGGGGCGGTGCTGGGGGCCGAAGTGGAGGGGTGGGCCGTGGGCAGAGGGGGGGCTCAGTACTGAGGTCACTGCCAGTGCCCAGCAGCACAATGACAGCATCCTGCCCGGCAACCGTCTTGTCCACATCAGCTGCCCGCAGAACGTCACCCACTACCACGTGGGCCGGCTGGGGGCCCTCCGACGGCAGCCTGGCGGAGTCTCGCACCAGCACGGTCACTTCGTAACCTGTGGGCAAAGAGGAGCAGAGCAGCGGGTCAGCGGGCTTGTGGGATGGCACTCCTGAGTCCTGGAAGGTCCCATGAACTCTTAAGTCCATCCGCCAGATCCCCTGCTCTGACAGTGAGCTTCGAACATTTTTTGTTTGTTTTACATGTGGAATACAATAATTCTACTTGATTATCAATATCGAGTTTGCTTTTTTTTTTTTTTTTGCAGTGCTGGGGTTTGAACTCAAGGCTTTGCACTTGCTAGACAGGTATTCTATTGCTTTGAGCCACGCACCCAGCCCTCTTAAAACATTTTTTGCTAGTAAACCCGTGGTTGATGTCCAGCTAGTTCTTAAACTAGGGTGATGCTTTTATGCTGATCCACAAATAAACCATACAGCGACCTCCACGGGCCTCTCCCTGCCCCAGACTTCCCCACCTTCCAGCAAGGAAAGGGATAATGCCTGGTAAGTCACTGCTTTATGTCATCACCCATGGTCCTAGGGGAAGTAGAAGGACCAAGCTCCCAAAGACTGACTGATTCTGGAACTGGTCCCAGACCCTGCGCCTGGCCTTGCTTCTGGAGGCCCATCTCCACCCTCGTGGTCCTTAGGATTTTGAAGGCAGGGGATGTAGCTCTGGGGTCAAGCACTTGCCAACCCTGGGTTCCATCCCCAGCTCTGTAAACAAACAGGTGGACAGTTCTATTTCTTCCCCCTCCAAACCACACACACAAATATTAAAGTTCACCATGGACATATTTCTTCTTTTGTTTTAAACAGTGGCAAAGGAGCTGGGGATGTAGCTCAGTGGTTAAGTGTTTGCCTAGTATGTACAAGGCCCTGGATTCGATCCCTAGTACTGCCAGATAAAATAAATAAACAGTGGTAAAGGACGTTGGTGTTTCAGTGTATGGTAATGGTGGTATTTTAAAAATAAAATGACAGATTATCTGTTATGGGCTGGATGTTTGTGACATTCCCCCTCCCTTTATATGTTGAAAACATAACCCCCTGTTGTGTTTGGAGGTGGGGCTTTAGGGAGGTGAATGACTTTGAGGAGGGTGAGGTCCCCATTATGTGATTAGTGTTCTTATAAGAAAAGGAAGACAGACCAGAGATCTGTCTCTCCCTCCACCATCCCAGAGCACAGAAAGCAGCCAACTGCAAGACCAGAAATTGCTCCTCAGCAGGGACTGAACCTGATGGTGTCTTGACCTTGGACTTTCTCAGCCTCCACAACTGTGAGAAAAACTATCTGCTACTTAAGCCACTCAGTCTATGGCGTTCTGTTATAGTAGCTCAAACTCACTGAGCCAACCAGCACGCCTTAGCGAAGTAGCTGATGGTGGGGCAGGGAAAGGACAAAATGAGGCCCGGCTTTTTTTCTTTTTTTTGGGGTGGGGGGAAGGGGTGGTATTGGACTTTGAACTCAGGGCTTCATGCTCTACCACTTGAGCCACGCCCCCAAGCCTTAAGGTGACACTAATAATAGTCTCAAATTTACAGGGTTGTTGTGGGTTTAAATTACATATCTAAAAGCTTAGTGTAGGGCTGGTGGAGTGGCTCCAGTGGTAGAGCACTTACCGAGTGTGAGGCCCTGAGTTCAAAGTGTTAGGACCGCCAAAAAAAAAAAAAAAAGTAAAAGCTTAATGTAGTCAGTTGACTTTCGACAAGGGTGCTAAGAAAGAATAGTGTTTTGAACAATGGTGCTAAGACAACTGGACAGCCACAGGTAAGAGATGTGAATTTGGATCCCTACCTCACAACACATATAAAAAATTAGCTCAAAATGATTTAAGATCTAAATGTAAGCAAAACCTATATAATTTTGGAAGAAACACAGTCATAAATCTTTATGACTTTAGATTAGGTGATGGTTTCTTAGCTACAATACCAAAAGCACAAGCAAGAAAAGGAAAAATAAGCCAGGCGCCGATGGCTCACACCTGTAATCCTAGCTACTCAGGAAGCAGAGATCAGGAGGATTGAGGTTTGAAGCCAGCCTGGACAAATAGCTTTGAGACCCTATTTTGTAAAAATCCTTCACAAAAAAGGGCTGGTGGAGTAGCTCAAGGGATAGGCCCTGAGTTCAAGCCCCAGTACCAAAAAAAAGAAAGAGAAGGAAAACTAAGTAAATTGGAGCCAGGCACAGTGACTTACCCCTGTAATCCTAGCTACTCAGGAAGCAGAGATAGGGTGGATTGTAGTTGAGATCAGCTAGTGGGGAGGAATTCTAAAGACCCCATCTCACTCAATAAAAAAGATGGGCAGGGTAGTTCGTGCCTGTCATCCCAGCTATAAAGAAGCGTAAATAGGAGGATCTCAATCAAGGTTGGCCAGAGCATAAAAGTGAGACCCTATTCAAGAAATAACTAAAAGCAAAAAGGACTGGAGGCATGGCTCAAGTGATAGAGCATTTTCGTGGCAAGTGCAAGGCCCTGAGTTCATATTCCAATACCTCCAACAACAACAACAAAAAGAAAGTAAAAATACAGGTTCTGGGCCAGGTGCTGGTGGCTCACGCCTGTAATCCTAGCTACTCAGGAGGCAGAGATCAGGAGGATCGTGGTTCGAAGCCAACCCTGGGCAAATAGTTCGTGAAACCTTATTTTGAAAAACCCTTCACAAAAAATTGGGCTGGTGGAGTGGCTCAAGGTGAAGACCCTGAGTTCAAACCCCAGTACTGCAAACAAACAAACAAACAAACAAAAACCCTACACACCTATTACGAGCACTACAACCATCGAGACAGACCTAAGCATTGGCGTGCTCATGGGGAAAGGGACCTCCGTGCGGTGCTCGGGGCCATGTTGACTGATGTGCTTCTTTCCAAAACAGTGTGGCAGTTCTTCAAACGACTAAGCAGAGCATATTGTGTGTCTAGGAGCAAATCCACTCTTAGACACAGACCCAAGAGAAATGAAAACCTATTTCCACCCCAAAACTTGCACATGAATGTTTACAGTAGCATTTTCATAATATCCACTGACCGCTTAATGGATAACTAAAATGTGCTATCTACACAATGAATGCCACTTGGCAATAAAAAGGAATGAGAAGCTGGGTACCCATGGCTCACGCCTGTAATTCTAGCTACTTGAGAGGCTGAGATCGGGAGGATTGAGGTTCGAGGCCAGCCCCAAGCAAATAGTTTCTGAGACTCTATCTCCAAAATAGCCAGAGCAAAATGGACTAGAAGTATGGTTCAAGCAAAAAAGCACCTGCTTGCAAGCATGAAACCTTGAGTTCAAATGCCCCCCACCAAAAATTAAAAAAAAAAAGAAAGAAAAGAATGACATACTGATACGTGCTGCAACATTAGATGAACTTTGAGTTTTTGTTTTTGTTTTGTTTTGTTTGCAGTACTGGGGTTTGAATTCAGGGCCTTGTGATTTCAGGCAGGAGCTCCACTGCTTGAGCTACGCTCCAGCCCTTTTTACTCTGATTATTTTGGAGAAAGGGTCTCGATGTTTTTTTTCCCTGGGCTGGCCTGGACTGTGATCTGCCCATTTATGCTTCCCATGTAGATGGGATGACAGTGTACACTACTGTGTCCAGCTTTTTATTGCTTGAGATGGGGTCTTGAGAACTTTTTGCCCAGGCTGGCTTCGAACCTCAATCTTCCAATCTCTGCCTCTGCCTCCTGAGTAGCTGGGATTGCAGGCCTGAGCCACGATGTCTAGCTAAGTACTTTTTTCCCTAAGTCAACCAATATCGAATCATTCCATTAACAGGAAATATCCAGAATAGGCAAATCTACACCAACAGGAAGTAGGTAAATGGGCTGGAAAATGGGGGTGGGGAGTGACTTCTAGGGACTTCCTTCTGGAATGATGAAAACATTCTAAAACAATTATGATACTATTTGCATAACTGTAAATATGCTGAGAACCACTGAACTGTATTTTTAAATGGGTGAATTGTACAGTATGTGAATTATAGCTCAACAGAGTTGTTATTAAAAATGCAAAAGCAAGCTGAGTACCGGTGGCTCATGCCTATAATCCTAGCTGCTTGGGAGGCTGAGATCAGAAGGATTGCGGTTTGAGGCCAACATGGGCAAAAAAAGGTAGCAAGACCCCATCTCAACCAATGTCTCCAGCAATAGTAGGAAACCTAACAGCAGCATCAAGGTTCAGGCCAGCCTAGGAAAAAGCTCCAAAATAACCAGAGCTGTGGGTGTGGCCTGAGGTTGTGGTAGAGCACTTGCCTCATAAGTGTGAAACCCTGAGTTCAAATCCCAGTACCACCAAAAAAAAAAAAAAAAAAAGAAAAGAAAAAGCAGCAGGTTCTGGTGGTGCAGGCCTGCAATCCCCATATTTGGGAGGCAGAGGCAGGAGGATCCAGAGTTTTAGACCAGTTTAGGTTATATATTGAGTTCAAGGCCAACCAGGACTACATAGTGAGACCAAAAAAACCAAACTAAACCAAATGCAAAAGTAGGGCTGGGGCTGTAATTAGGTAACAGGTTTCTTACACAAGGCCCTGGGGTTGATCCCCAGTACTACAAACAAACAAACAAAAACAAAACCCTGAGACAGATTAACCAGAAGTTTAGGGTAGTGCCTGGCACAGTGCCTGGTACTGGTTACTCGCTATTATTTTATGCCTTTTAATCATCTCACAATTTTATTCCCTGGCCTGGATTAGTCTGAGTCTCTCTCCTTCCTGGTCCCTTCCCTGGGTCTTCCCTAGGCTCCAGGGTCCTGTTCTGCCTCCTTCTATCCAGATTCCTCAAGTGCCTAGAGCTTTGTGCTTGCCAGTTATGTCTGAGTGCCTCCCTGCTCAGACTCCTCCCCTGGTGAACCCCCTATGCCCGGCAGTGAAGCCACACCCTCACCACAGCCTGGTGGGGGTGCAAAGGGAGGCAGAGGATTGAGTCTCTCCTTTCTCTAGCACTTCTTTCAGTTCCTCAAACACACCAAGCTCTTTCCTGCCTCCGGGACTTTGCACGTGCTATGCCCTCTGCCTGAAACATCCCTGCCCCCAGTCACTTACACTTCCTCTGCTGTGGCTCTCCTGGCTGACCTGGAGAAAACCAAGAGCCCTGTGAGTCCAGGGACTGTGACATATTCATCACCACCTCCCTGACCCTTTACAAACTTGAGAGTTCAGGCTGTATGGAGACAGGGTCTTGCTATGTAGCCCAGGCTGACCTTGAACTTTTGGTTCTTCTAACTCAACCTCCTGAGTGCTATGGAAGTGGTTTTCAAATTGACCCTGCTATTTACTGGCTGAGGAACCTCATGGGACATTTTTGTTGATGGGACCTCAGCTTCCTCAACTCTGAAATGAGATCACAGCACGAAGCATGTAAAACCTCTGTGATTTCTTTTCCTAAAAGAATGACAAAACCTCAGAGAGTTGTGGGGACTTGCAGGGAGCCAAGGCAGGCACTGCCACTTCATTTGTTAAAAACTCTCCTTTACTCTATGAATATTTTTTTGGCAAACATGTTGCTAGGGTCTGAATGTTTACATCCCCTCCCTCAACTCATGCTGAAACTAATTAGCAAAGTGGGGGCTTAGCTGGGTGCTTGTAATCCTAGCCACTCGGGAGGCAGAGATCAGGAGGATCTCGGTTCAAGGCCAGCCTAGGCAAATAGTTTGAGAGACTGTATCTCAAAAATACCCAACACAAAAATTTGCTGTTCTGTTCTTTCTGTTGGTTTGTTTTGTTTTTGAGACAGGGTCTCATTATGTAGCCCAGGCTGACGAACTCAAGCTCCTCCTGCCTTTGCCTCCCAAATGCTGGGATTATAGGTGTGCCCCATCATGCCCAGCAAAGTTCCGTATTCATGAATGAGAATGGTGCCCTTACTAAAGACACCCCAGAGAGTGAGCAAGCACTTCCCAGCATGCAAGGACGGAGTCAGTGGTGTGATGTGTGGAAGCTGGCCCTTATCAGACACCAGCAGCGCCTTGATCTTGGACTTCACAGCCTCCAGAACCATGCAAAATAAGTTTCTGTTGTTTATAAGTCACCTAGTGGCTAGTAGTTACACACCAAGTCACAGACTCTCAGATCTACCCTTTATAAAAAGCAAGAGCATGCTGGGCACCAGTGGCTCATGTCTGTAATCCCAGCTACTCAGGAGGCAGAGATCAGGAGGATCGAGATTCAAAGCCAGCCCAGGCAAATTGTTTGTGAGACCCTATCTCAAAAAAACCCATCAAAAAATAGGGCCAGTGGAGTGGCTCAAGGTGAAGTCCCTGAGTTCAAACCCCAGTACCTCAAAAAAAAAAAAAAAAAAAAGCAAGAGCATTTATTATGTATTTCCATACCCCTTTTATTAAAAAAAAAAAAAAAGTCCCTTACAGGCTGTACCACCAAGCCCCACTCGGTTAATTTTTTTTTTTTTTTTTGGTGGGACTGGGATTTGAAGTCAGGGCCTTGTGCTTGCAAAGCAGGACATGTACCACTTGAGCCACACCTCAAATCCTTTTTTTTGTTTTTTTTGCTTTGGTTATTTTGGAGATGGAAGTCTTGAAAAATATTTGCCTGAGTTGGCTTCAAACCTCGATCCTCCTTATCTCAGACTCTCAAGTAGCTAGGATTATAAGTGTGAGCCACAAGTGCTTGTCCTGGCTCAGTTAATTTTTTATTTTTGAATAAATTCAGACCTATAGAGAAGTTGCAAGATCCAGATTCTTCATATTTGCTTTATCCTTCTCTACATAGATATATAATTGTAATATGCACATTTATATACATTTGCATAAACACACTTACACATTTATATATATTTACCCTGAATTTGAGAGTAAGTTATCAAGGTGATGCCTTTTTAAACATTTTTCTTTCTTTGGTGGTACTGGGGTTTGAACTCAGGACCTCATGCTTGCTAGGCAGGCACTCTGTCACTTGAGCCACTCCTCCAGTTCCTTGAGCTTTTTTTTTTTTTTTTTTGTGGGACTGGGGCTCGAACTCAGGGACTCTACTGCTTGAGGCACACCTCCAGTCCAACCCCTTGAGCTTTTTTTATCTCAACCCTGGATACAAAATAGATTTCGCTGCCTGAACCAGTGCACACAAATCCATAGATATTCGTATAATCTGAATTAGCTTCATCAAACCAATATTTAACATGTAATACATTTTGATACTGTTGTGACCAATTAAGTATATTTCACAACTCATGTGACCCTCAGTTTGAAAAATACAGATTCCAGCAACTCCACAAGATAGTTATTATGCTTTTTTTTTTTTTTTTTTTTGTGGTACTGGGGTATGGAAACCAGAGCCCTGGAGCGATTGAGGACTTTACCACTTGAGCCACACCTTTAGCTCTTTTGTTTTTATTTTATTTTTGAGATAGGATCTCACTAACTTTGCTCTACCTCTGCCTCCCAAGTAGCTGGAATTACAGACGTGTACCACCGTGCTCGGCATGTCTGTTTCAAGGATGGGGATACTGACACAATTTTAGGTAACTGGGCCAAGGTCACACAGCACGTAGGTAGAAAAAGTAAAAATTTTACCTAAGTGAGTCTTATCCATAGCCTACAGCATTCAAGGGTATAGTTCAATTAGCCAAGGAGGGCTTACTACACAGTATCTCATTTTGTCATCCTAAGTGCCCCAGGGCAAGGACTGCTAGCTTCATTCCCACTTTACACACAGTTCTAGAGAAGTGGTAAGTGGCAGACCTGGCTTCTTGAATTCGGGCTGGCTGGCATGGAGTCCATGCCTGTCAGGACTCTGGCCCTACAGAATCACACTGGGGTAAAAAAAAAAAAAATCCAATTTATCCAAGCCCTTCCCGATTCTGATAGGGGCAGGGGAAACCTTTCAGACTCCCAGAAAAAGCAGGGCCTCCCCTAGGCTCCCCCCACCCTCCACATCCCCCTGGGTGCAGTCCCAGCTGTGACCAGCAGGGTGGGCAAGTGAAACCCTTGGAATTGGGGATTAAGGTGAAAATAGTCACGCGGAATCCAGATACTCAGGGTGATTCAGCACTTCTCAACTTCTTTTTCCTTCTCCACTGCCGCGGGGGAAATGCTTATCAGCAAGTTCATTTTTACTGGGAGGCCCAGGACTGTCTCTCCTCCCCGTAAGTCATGATCCTCACAAAGTCCCCAGGAAAGAGTCCAGCCTGCCTGAAAAGGAACTTCCAGAAAGACTTTTCAACCCGGGCTCAGTAGTGCTCACCTGTAATCCCAGTACTTGGGAGGCTGAGATAGGAGGATTGTGATTTTTGAGGTCAGACTCACCTACATGGGGAGATGGGGAGACCCTGTCTCGAAAAAAAAAAAAAAGCCAAGCACCAGTGTTTCATGCCTGTAATCCTAGCTACTTGAAAGGCTGAGATCAGGAGTTCAAGGCCAGCCCAGGCAAATAGTTCACAAGACCCTATCTCCTAAAATAACCAGAGCAAAATGGACTGGAGGTGTGGCTCAAGCGGTAGAGCACTTTCTTTCCAAGTGTGAAATCCTGAATTCAAACCCCAGTCCCAACAACAACAACAACAAAAAGTGGTGTTCTGGTGGCCTCCACCCTTATGGGACACTCAGATAGTCAATATCTTCAGAGTCACCAAGACTAACTGGGGTGGGACCCTATATCTGGAAGTCCCAGACCCAGTTGGGCGGTGGTAAACTCTGGAGTGAGGAGCAGAGGACACTGGGGGACCCTGCATTCTTATGGGCTCTTGGGTCATGACCACTCCAAATTTTCAGTCCTTACTGACATTCCCAGGACGAGTGTCCCCGAATCTTTACTCTTGTCTCTGTGATCTCTTTCCATTAGGTGCTCACAGCAACCTGCCACAGTAACCTTTTCAATTTCCAGCTTGGGTGTCCAAGCCAAAATCCCATGACCTTTTTTTGTTGTTCCTAAGAGCACGAACTGCGTTCAAAGTCCAGAGCTGCCGCTTACCAGCTGTGTGATGTTGGGCAAGTCACTCTCTGTTTCTCATCTGTCAAGTGGGAAAACACTAGTTCCCCGTCACATGAGGGCTGCCCGGATTTCACACGGGTAGAGGGAGGGCACTGGTTGGGCGGCGAGCTGAAATCTCTCTGAGTGTGCCAACAACAACCACAACTACAATCACAACCACCACATTTCATGATAGCCCTGGGGTTACACATAACTGAGCCACTGGGGTCCCCCAGGTTCCCATGGCCACTTTCAGTTTTATGTGCCTTGGACGCACTTAAAACTGAATCCCATGGCTTCCCCCATTTCGGCCTCCGTGGTCACTTGCTTTGCTCCCTGAATCTTCATACACCTGGCTGAGACACTGATGGCCCCAACCAGCCTCAGCCCGGCCTCATGACGCCCCTTCTTAACGCTCTGCGGGTATATCCCGTGATATCCCCGACCCCGTCCCGGCTCATGCCTGCTTGTACCGCCTGCGCCAGGGTGGTGAGCCCAGTCTTGCCGGTGGCACCGAAGATCGCGATCTTCTTAACAGCCATGCTGCGGGGTCCTAAGTATGCGACGCGGGAACCCAATGGCTGCTGGGCGTGCTTTCTGCACTTCTTTAATCCGAGGGACGGGGCGGAGCCTTGTCTGAGAGCCCCGCCTCAGGCCCCACCCCTGGTTTGGGTCAAAGGGAGGGGCCAAGTAGACCACGCCTCCCTCTGGGAAGAACACAAGTGGGCGGGGCTGGAGCCTGCTTGCGTTTCCTCACTGCCCAGCACCACACTCTCGGACCGCCTCTTAGACTTGGAAACCACGCCTCCATCTTCTGGGGAGGGCGAGAGTGGGCGGAGCCAGAGAAGTTGTCACTCAGTGCCCCGCCTCCACGCTCCAGCCACATGGGATGGGCAAGGCTGGACGGGAAGCCACGCCCACCGGGCTCTTCTAGCTTACGCACCCTCTCCCCGCGCTAGGGGTCCGAGGTGGCCCTTGCACTAACTTCCAGGGCTTCCTCCAACAAACAAGAGGACAAATGAGGGAGGACAGTGTAGTTGTTGGGGTGTGACACTGTGTAACTGCGAGTGTGTGACCCTAAGTAACCACAAAAGAGAGATCGATTGTGGGTGATACCTTGTGTCATCATTTGTGTTACAGTGTGACTCTGGGTGATTCCACGTGTGGTTAGCATTTGGTGCTACTCTTTTGTGACTTTGCGCTGACACTGTGGGTGACACTGAATGCCAGCTTGTGTGATATGGCATGAATGTGGGACACGTGTGAGGTTTTAGATTGTGACAGTGGTGTACACCACGTGTCATGTAAGAGTATGTGAACACTGATTCCATTTGAGTGTGTGGCTATGGGAGTTACTGTTGCGATGCTCTTTGTGATTTGCCGTGGCTGTGATGTATGAGTGTGTAACAGTGCAGGATGCGTGCCTGGGTGACAGGTTCGAGTGTTTAAATGTGTATGACACTGTGATTGTGAAGATGTGCATGATGTGTGAGTATATGACACTCAGTGACGCCCTGGAAGTGTGCGACAATGTGTGACACATATGATTGTGTGTCATACCACATTGGGGGTGGTGTCCTATTTGAGTGTGTCATAATGTGTGACACACTGTTCCAGTGTGGAACACTGTGTGACTGCGTATGGCAGTTTGAAGGTTTGACCCTGGGTGACCCCCATGCGAGGGAGTGACACCGTGTGTGGATGTGGAGAGTGTGTGACGTTGCAAGTGACCCAGTGTATGTGTGGCAGTGTGGGAGTGTGTGACGCTACCTCTGCCCCTCGTGGGTGCAGCTGTGCATCACACGCGTGGCCCGGCGTGTGACAGCGCGGGGGCCCGCGCCGCAGCAGGCGGCAGGGGCGGCGGGGCCGGCGGGCGGGAGGGGTCCGGGGGCGCGCGGGAGCGCGGCGGGCGGGCTGGGGGAGGCGCGGCGGCGCGCGGCGGCGGCGGCGGCGGCGGCGGCGGCGGCGGCGCATGCGGATCTGACCGAGCCGGGCCGGCCGGGCCGGGCCGCGGACGCCGACAGGGAGGTGTCGGCGCGGCGAGCAGCGGGGACAGCAGCACCGGCGGCCGCGGGCCCAGGTGAGCGGCGTTGCGGCCGATGGCTTCCCCAGCATCTCCCCACTGCCCTAGCATCCTCCTGGGGGGCTGTTGGGCACGGCCTGAGTCCCCCGTCTCCCTAGCTGGTGAACAAAGGGGTCGAAGGTAGAATGAGCCCAACCCCCATCTAGTCCTGCCTGCGAGCCATGCGTGGTCTTCCCGCAGGCCTTGTCCTTTCCAGGTCCCTCCTCCTCGCACGTGACTGGACCGCAGAGGAGAGAGACGGCGGCTTTGGAACGGTTAAGGCATCCGATCCCACCCGCCCTTCAGCGTCCGGCCAGCCTTTGATGGGGTCTGGCAGGACACCCTTCCCACCTCCCCCATCACTTCTCCCCTTTTACTTCGCCATTCAATCCCCACGTAGGGCCAGAGCTGCTCCCCGGCGCCGACAGAGAGCTCGACAAGTGCTAAGCGCCTCCCCATCCCAAGTAGCCTCCATCGAGGGAACAGTTGTGATCACCGCTTAACAGGAAAGGAAACTGAGCACAGAGAGGCCAAGTTAAAGATACTAGGTTAGAGATAGAGCAGAACAAGGCAAGACTTGAACTTATTTCTGTCTGACTCCAGAAAGGCATTTTGATTTACTAAGATATGTGACCAAAAGATGAAGAATTATAGCAGACTGGGGTGTAGCTCAGGGTAAGAGCAGCAAGCCTCCTGAGGCCCTGGGTTCAATCTCACCAGCTCCACAAGGAAAAAAAAAAAAAGATAATGACAAGGAACATGTACTGAGGACCTGCTATATACAAATTACCATGTTCCTTTGTTATTAACTAATTATCTTCAAACGTCCCTGGAGTTTTTATAGATTAAACACTGAGGACCAGAGAGGAGAAGTGACTTGTTCAAGGTCACTACTTGCAGCTTTCTATGGAAGAAGAGAAGACTAACAGTGGATTTTGGTGTGCTTACCAAAAGGGATAACTTCCACTAACCTTGGCCCACAACCAGACCCTACCCTTCCCTACTGTCTGGGTCTTTTGAGAGTGTCATCTTCCTGTCTTTTTATTTTATGTTTTTGGTGTACTGGGGCTTGAACTCAGGGCCTCACAGTTGCTAGGCAGATATGCTACCACTTGAGCCACCCCTCCCCCTAGTCCTTTTTGTTTTAGTTATTTTTCCAAGAGTGTCTCTCATTTTTGCCTGGCCAACCTTGGACTGTATCCTCCTCCCTACACTTCCCACATCACTGGGAAGACAGGTTGGGCCATCATGCTGTCTTATTTGTTGACATAGGGTTCTTTTTTTTTTTTTTGTAGGTCTGGGGTTTGAACTCAGGACCTACACCTTGAACCACTCCACCCACCCTTTTTTTGGATAGGTTTTCAAGAGACAAATTTGCACTGGCTGCCCAGGTCTTCTGATCTCTGATAGACACACTCACTACTAGGGTTCCTTGGGGGGCTTGTCTACTCTAGTTACCCTTGGCTGGAATGGCCAGGGCCCTGGAGCTGGCCTAGTTCACGTATGTTTCTTATGGCTAAGGTGAGCATAAGCAGGAACACCCAAGGTCTCTTGAGTCTAACCATCCAGGCTAGCACGACAGCACTTCCGCCCAATTCTGTTGTCCAAAGCAAGTCACATGGTTAAACCCAAGAGAGAGTGGGACACCCAACACACTCATACCTTTTCCACCTGAACAGTTGGAGGACACTAAAGAGTTATATGGCAAAGGCTGTGACTACAATGGTGAAGAATTGGGGCCATTATTACAACCACTCTATCATAGTGCCTGCATTTAAATCTTAGCTACTTGCAGGCTGTGTAACTAGGGCTGGGGGTGTGGCTCAAGTGTTAGAATGCTTGCTTATTTAACAAGCACAAGGCCCTGAGATCAAACTCCAGTTCTGTCCCTTTCCCCCAAAAAAAACCCAAAGCTGTATAACTCAGGCAAGTGAATTACACTCTGTGCCTCAATTTTCTCCTTCGCAAAATGGGCCTATAATAACTGATCACTGGGGAATTCAATTTGTGAGAATTAAATAAGAGAATGCATGTAAGGTACTGAGCAACACCAAGTGCTCAATGCATGTTCATTATAATTATTGCATCGTAGTTCTGTGATGACAATGTTATTGTTCTAATAGTAATAATAATACAGTGACTATTTGCAAGGCAGCTGCCCCAGGTCAGGCATTAAGTCAGGTACATTACCACAGTCCTCTGAAGTAGTCAGTGTGAATATCATTCATTCTTATTATGTCCACTTGAAGGACAAAGAAATCGAGGGTCAGCGAGGGCTCAGGACTCATAGCCAGTCACTGTTAGAAGTGGGGTCCTCTGAGCTCAGGCCCTGGTTCCAGTCCTAACCTACCTCTCCCCAACCCCCAGGCCTCACCTTCCCTGATGGCACAGGTTCCAGGGGAAGTGGACAACATGGAGGGGTTGCCTGCCCTCAACAACAACAACCCTTCAGCCCGCTGGGAGAGTCCAGATCGGGGCTGGGAGCGGGAGCCGACGGCTGCCTCCACTGCAGCCGCTTCGCTGTTTGAGTGCTCACGGATCAAGGCCTTAGCAGGTACCTGGAGGAAGGCTGGGTGGGCAGAGGGGAGTGGAGGGGGGTGCTGGGGTGGTCTCAGTGCATCTTAGAGCCTGAGAACCTCCATGGCCAAGAGGTGGGGTGGAGGAGAGTTACAGACACTCACCACTTGTATCTTTAGACCAGCTCTGCACAATAGAACTTTCCATTCTGATGGAAGTGTTCTGTATATGTGGTGGCCAATATAGTAACCATTAGTAAATGTGGCTACTGAGCACTTGAAGTGTGGCTAGTGCTACTTAAGAGACAGTTTTAACATTTTATTCTTTTAATTAATTTAAATTTAAATAGACAAACGCAGCTGTGAGCTGTATGAATAGCACTTTCTTAGAAACAAGGTCTTGCTAAGTAGCCTAGGCTGTGGCTTCAACTCCCTAGGTAGTGTAGGCTGGTCTCGAACTCCCCATCCTCCTGCCTTACCCTCCCAAATGCTGGGATTACAGGTGTGAACTCAGATTGCTTTAGAACACAGAACTTTGTAAGCATTTTCCTCGGGACTCCCAAACGCAGAACAGTTGGACTTCAGCTGACTTTGGAATGTCGTACTCAAACATTCTTCAAAACTGAGACTTTTTCCTTTTGGTGCTGGGAGAGAACTAAGGATCTTGTGCATGCTAGGCAAGGATATACCCCAACCCTTCATTGTTGTTTTTGTTTTTAAGACAGGGTCTCACTTTGTGGCCCAGGTTGGCCTCGAACTTGTGATCCATCTGCCTTAGCTCCTGAGTGCTGAGATTACAGGCATGCTACACCTGGCTCAAAACTGAGCCATTTAGAAATTAAGATGTTTGGAAATATAGAACTTTATGGTCATAACCTTAGAAGTTTTAATCACTGGCCCCTAGGATCCTAAAGCCATAGAAACAAACAAATGCATATAAATCCTTAGGACTTTATCATTCTAAACCTTTAGGATTTCTGGTTAGAAATCTGGGTCCTGAGTCTTTGAGGCAGA